GTGTGCACCCCTGGACCTCAACCGCAAGGATCCGATCGCAGTGTGCATCCCTGGACCTCAGCCGCAAGGATCCGATCGCAGTGTGCACCCCTGGACCTCAACCTCAAGGGTCCGATCGCAGTGTGCACCGCTGGACCTCAACCGCAAGGATCCGATCGCAGTGTGCACCGCTGGACCTCAACCAGATAGTTTGCCAGATAGAATGCGAGGTAGATTGCCAGATAGAACGCTGCAAGAAGATATGCCAGATAGTATGCCAAATAGTGCGTCAGATAAATTGCTAGATACACTGCCAGATAGAATGCCAGATGGAATGCCAGATAGAATGCCAGATAAAATGAGATAGAATGCTGCAAGAAGATATGCCAGATAGTATGCCAAATAGTGTGTCAGATAGATTGCTAGATACATTGCCAGATAGAATGCCAGAAAATATGCCAGATAGAATGACAGATAGTATGCCAGACAAAATGCCAGAAGATATGCCAGATAGAATGCCAGGTAGATGCCAGGTGGGGATCACTCGAAGTAAAGTATTTTTTTTGCCAGAATTGTTTTGCAACATTACATTTGGTTAGTCTTATATATACATATATATATAAGTTCCCTATGTGCCACTGAATTTTCTCGGAACCAGAGAGACCTGAAGGTTTTCAGGCCTTAGCCACGATCTCCTCATGCCTAAATTCATGGAAAGTAGTTGATTTCGGTTGTCACAATAGAAAGATACAGCCAGTTAGTCAGTTAGTCCTAGATGTTTTTTTTTTAAACGCGACATCTCTCACTTTTGGTAGGCTTTTCTGATTTGCTGATCCTTTGTCCTTTGCTTTGTTCAGATGCGTCTAGAGGAGTCGTTACTATCATGATCTTTGCCATGCTGTTTCTGTTTTTTCCTGTAGGGTTTTAGTCAATCTTGGACTAGTGGTGATATGACTGGTAAGTTCTGCTGGCTAGAGTGGAGCCAGTGCAGGATCCGGGTGGGCCAGTGGGACAGGCTCGAGATGAGTAGATGAGTGAGACTGTTTCCATGAAGTCTATAGAGGGCCTATAGGGGTCGGGGTGTTCCAAGTGGCATTGGGCCCCGAAAAACCGCATGTGTTCCAGGTGTTTTATCTCCGAACAGAATAACGCCACATTATCGCAGAAGTGTTTGGTCATGTTCCATACTGACTGATGGATCGATAGCGAATGCTTCCAGGATGGCGAACAGGTCATCGTGCACAGTGGTGACCTGAAGAACCTCCGGGCCTCAGTCACCAAAGCCATCTTCGGAATTCTGGTTGCAGAGATCCTTCGGTTGGTCGGTGTCATGGTGGGAGTTTTTTCACCGATCGCCATCTGATGTTGAAGAGATGCCCTCCAACGAACACATCACACGGAAGTGGATGGCACCACCTGTTTGTAAAAGAAACTGAGCTTGAAAAGCGGCCCATGTCTTTGTCAGAGGGTACACTCCCTGAAATCAACAGTTTTTCAGTGGAGTTCACCACCTGCTGCCAGGTCTTCTTTCACAGGGTCATGGAAGAATTCTGGACTACGCCAGGTAGACATGAACCCATGAGAATTCCCAGGGGCCTGAAGTGTTTCCCAAGTGTCTTCTTCAGACTCCCAACGGTATCCGTGTTTCAGACTCCCACTCGGTATCCGGGAGTCAGGCTGTCATTCGGAGTCAACACATCAGGAGTAGTGCCTACCAGCTGGAAAACAGGTCACCTGGCTACAAGGACAACCCTACACTATACTTCTTATAGGTCTCCAGACAGGACACCCATTGGAAGCGCGCGAGTGCCAACAGAATTCGTGTTGGTAATCCTTTCGACCATGTCCTGCCGCTTCATCCGCCTCCAGGATCGCCCACGGTGCTGATCCGACCGCTGAACGTGGACGTCACGAGCGAGTTGTCCATCGCGAACTCGCGGTTGTGCAGCTGGGCAGTGTGTGGCCGCGGATCATCAAAGGATGCCCAGTTCGAAGCCCTGGAAAAAGGATGAAACCCAGACACGACTCATGGGACTGCCATAGGACTGCCGCCCCAGAAAGACCCCCTTTTCCACCTTTTTTTCTTGGTTTGATCGGCAGTCCTATGGCAGTCCTATTAGTCGTGTTTGGGAAAGAGGAAGAAACAGATGAACACCCATTGGGCCAGGGGAGTGGCCATTGGGCCAGGGGGGTGGCACATATAGTTGATTAAGACATCCTGAGCCTGGTTGATTGGGGGTTGATGGGCCATACTCGCGGCGACCTTGGCTGGAAACGGTTTCGAGCCCATTCCAAGAGCGGGGCGCGGGCTGCACGATTTTCCGTTTGGTGGATGGTTCGCTTGGACGCTTGGGTAAAACACCTTCGACTTGGTCCAACGCCCGCGTCGCCCACGGTCATTCTCACAGAGAGAATGTCATGACTCACACGTTTACCTCTACATGTCCTGTGGAACACCAACGTTTGCAAACGCAGGTGCTCCTTTGCATACACAGGTAGCCTAATGATGTCCGCGTTTCTGCCCCGGGGTTTTCTTCATATCAATCACACCTTCTCAGCCTTGACATGCCTTGAAGTCATACCGCTCTTTGCAGATGTTGGACTCTCCGGGGGCCATCGACGGGTGCAAACCCGTCGGCGTTCAGCCGACGCGTCGACGTCCCGTGTGGGGTCACTGTCATGCATCGCGACTCGAGTGACAGCTACTGGGCTGTGAGCTTTGGTGTGCCTCCTCCTTTCTTCCAAGAAGCTCCTGGATAGCAATGGTTTGTTCACCTCATTGACTCGACTCATGTTCATTATAATGATTTATTCGCGACTCGAGGCAAGTACTTCGAGATTGGCGACTACGTCACCGTGATGTCCGGCGACCATGTGGGTGACGCTGGGCATGTGGAGCAGGCAAGACTGGCGAGACTCCGGCGAGACGCTCCGACATCCACCAGCCGAACCTCCAGCAGCCCCTCACCGGCGACCTGTGAGCATCTTCCTTTACAGTGGTTTCGGCGTAGATGGCACAAAGCCCTACTCTCCCGCAAACTAACATGGAACCTGAGAATTGACCGGTGGTTTCGACCATTTTCCTCTACAACCCATGGTTTTGGGGTTCCATGTGGTCCTTTGCGGGGGAGTAGATATCTTAGACAGATGGGGGTCTGGATCTTTTGGGGTAACTTGTGCCATTGAAATCATTAATCCTCTCAATCCACAACCCAACTGCGATTGGTTTCCGCCACGATTCGTGGCCGGAACTGACCAGTCGACTTGTGAGTTTGAACGCTTCTTCTTAGGGTGCATTTCTTACGGCCTTTCCGTTACACCCGTTCCGTCAGACCGAACGAAACGGGGAGGTGGAGCTGGGACCCTCTAAGACGTGGGGTTCCCATGCCACCGCCCGCATCCTGACCGCGGACTACAGCTCGTTCCGGGCCTCTTTGAATGATCCTTGGCCGAGAAGAAGGAGACGGGGGATGAGAGATGAGAGGTGGATGAAATATGAGGTGTGAAGGTGCCTTTTTGGGACGATCCAACAAATCCAACTATTGTAAAGGTTGTTTCAGTTTCATGGATTCTTATTTCTTATGGTATTATGCGGTATTATAACAATCTACCGTGTGCTGTGCTAACGCCGCTTTTTGATAGCCATCCTCCAAGTAAAGCACTGCAAGATAAAACCGATAGAGCCTCATTCAAAGCTACAACCTCCATCTAAGCGGAGGTCCATGTACACTACAAAATGACAGAGAGATACAGAGAGTATACTCTGCACTAGTGAGGTTGGGACTTGTGAAATGGCTGTGCAAATTTCGAAGTTCCATCTCATGTGTTTCCAAGTGTGTCCACAACTCCCATCTCATCATGCATCTACTATCAACATCAAGAACAGTTGAGGGTAGCTGTGCTTATCTCTTTGAATTGGTGTATTCCAATCGGGGACACTGGTGAGAAGAAGGCAGAAGAAACAACGACAGCCAGACAAGCGGAAGTGGGAAAAAGATCCGTGCAGTGGAGCTCACCTTTAAACAAATAAACACATCTATATGGCCAGTATAACTCCTATCTCATGTGTTCTTGAATGTTTTCAGTCAACTTTTCTCGGACACGTGTGTCAAGACTTGTGCAACAAACAACCCGTCTCATAATTGGTACAACTCTTATCTCATTTGGGGGTAGTATAATGATGAGTAATGTAATGATGGATTAGTCGAACATGTTTGAAATTGTTTCAACAGACGCGCGGAGGACGTTTAGCCTTGCAGCATCCCTTTCCTGTGATCGAGTGGGCAGGCTAGGCGAGTAATCCGACTGGTTCATTCATAGCTAATATTCACCACAATGGTTGGCCGATCGTGGATGAGCAGATCTATACCTACACTCCCTGAAATAGTCATGGAAGTGGAATTTGTCCTCCACCTCTAGAGGTGGTTGTAGTGTCCACTTCCGTGATCATTTCAACAAGTGTACTGTTTGGAACGGAACAATCTGTTTGAAATGCCGGGTTCAGGGCTGACCTTGGGGAATTCTTCCATGAAATGCCAGGTTCAAGATGGTTCAAGTATAAATCCTGGATTTCTTCACCACATCCCTCCTGGATTTCTTCAGACCCTCAACACCATCCTTCCGCTGTTGACTTGGGTCGCTCCCGCCCATCCCCGCCGTCACCCCGCCATCCCATGTCGTCACCCCTCCTCACCCAGGACCTGCGGCGGAGCCGGCAAAAGCCCGAGAGCCACCAAAAGGTGGGAGAATTCCGTGTCGGACAATTGGTGTCCTGGGCGCATTTGATGGGGACCAGGGACCAGGTCAGTGGTTTTGGAGGGAGAGAGTGGCGCTGGGCAAGTGTGTGGGTGTGTTTGACGCGACGGGCGGAAAGGAGAACTCATGGGGCGGGCGAGGGGGTGTGTAATTATAGATTAGATATGATGCTGTGTGGATCTGTGTGGGAGTTCCTCTCAGAGTGATGTCCAGAGCCATCCTGGCTGTTCCTAGGTTTAAAGTCTAGGACTCCGCTGTCCTGCTCGTGCTTCACCTCCACAAATGATTCTTCTGGAACTATGCAGATCCTGGGATGGATCCCTGCACAACAAATGACACGCTCTTCCTGCGATTCGATTTTGATATTTTAGGTTCAGGTGCGTATGTTTCATGACACAGTCTGCCTACGATTCAATGTTAGCTTCGGGTGTGTATGTTTCGTGACTGCGGAACTAACTCTCCACAGAGAGAGAGGGAGACAGCAAGCGAGCGCTGAGCACTCAGGTCGCAGGTCCAAGGCAACTCAGCAGAGGTCAACCCAGACTTCTCAAGTCACAATCACCGTGGTTGTCACTGCTTCATCTCCCCAAACACCGCCCCAACCACCCCCAACCTACCAAAAGCACGGTCGGTGAGGTGATGGTCGCTGGTCAAGACACCCGTGCAATCATCGTCCGATTGGAGGCGGCGGCGGCGTGTTTTGTTCTTTTGCGGCGGACGCGGGTGTCAAGTGATGGACAAATCAAGTAGACTCCAACCCTTCATGTGTGAAATATATTGTGATATTAGGATATATATATATTTATACGGTCATATATTAGGTCATATATACGGTCGTAAATGTAAGGAAAACATGATGGTCCACGACCACTTCGCCCACAAGATTCCAGTCCCTTGGTTTACCTTTAATTTGTTGCCAGATTGTTTGTGCCTGCAGGCTGCCTGCAGGGCCTCCAGAATAAGGAATCATGTTTTTGGATCGTCGATCCCGTGATTGGAACCACAATCCAGAACGGCGCTAACCCAAACCGGCAAGGTGGTGAATAAGTAGGCTACAGCCCAGCCAGATGATTTGTCCAACTTCTTTTTTGCTTGGAAGAGTCGGCGCGGGACATTGCGCCAATTCCATCCAATTCCACTTACAGCGCCTGTTCCAATTGAGTTGTGTTCAGGGACCTGCAACCAATGCCTGCTGGAGCTTCTTTGTTTTTCCATCTCTGAGCGTTTTGTGCATAAACACAAACAGTGCGATGAGGATGTCAATTGGAAAGTTGGTCTTGACAGTGCTGCAGGTCGCCATTGGCACGTACTTCTGTGCGAAAAACGTGCCTTTTTGTGTGCCACAAAAACGAGGCAGTCTATCTAAAACAATAACATCTATACTTTGCACGGGTGGTAGATATACATGTCATGTTGCTTGAGTGTTTTTGTCGAAATCCCCACCCCCCTCGCATCATTCTCGTGCGCTGAACGCGAGGCCGGTGACCGTGCCATGGTCCTGGGTCCAAATGCGCGCAAGACATATGTAAGCCTAGCCGAGCTTCAGCCTGTGCAGCTGCCCAGAAGATGCTTGGAGGAATGTGAATGTGGGAGAGGGAGCTAGAGGCAGCGAACAGAGGCAGGCCAGTGAATTGCCACGGCATATCTGGTGTTTTGGGACTTTGGGACCAACATGCCCCGGAACCTGCCACTGGTGCCGAAACACATGACACTAAAGCACATCCCAAATGACCCCCCACTGCGCCCACACTGCAGCTCTCTACAATTACAAACACCCAACCTTATAACACCATATATCACAGATGACCGACACCACACTTTGCCACATCAGGAATCAACGCGCACTGCATTACGTTGGAACTTGCAGTATCATGCAGTATCATCTACCCTTCATGACATCAACACAAACACAATCAAACACATCGACTTGCCAAGTATCACATTTTTTCACCACGAATCAACACATCCCCTAGTTTTATCTTTGTAGGGTTTCTGCCTGTCGACCCTGCCAGAGCTTGTCAGCTTGTCCGGAATATAGATAATATACAATTACTTTGGATTGGCACAGTGGCCACTGGCTTTCGCAAAGTCCTTATCCATGGTTCTTTAGGCTGGAACACCTCCAATATGTACTTGGCGGTGCTAGCAAGTTCCTACCAATCCATTCTTTCAATGTGGCGTTCTTGGGTCATCTAGTTGTACCTACCCTGCACTACTCGTGCCACGGTGCGAGGTCGTGTGCTCTCCTGCTTTTCCTCCAGAATCCGTGTCTCACACCCTTCGAGCGTCAAGTCGACTCCTGAGGATCAATTTACAAACTTCATAGCTGGTGCGAGGACAAGAAGCAACATCGCTTGGTGCCGGGCTGCGTGGTGAAAGCTCCCCAGAGCTACAGCGGTGCCAGGGCTGCACCTCTAGAAATGGTTATATGTTATCGGCTGCGAGCTTGAGGTCCGGAGTGTGTTTCTGTTCCCAAGTAGCTCTTGGTCGTGGTTCTTGCTGATTGAATATTATTCCCACACAATTTCGATCAACAAGTGCCTTCGTTGTTTGTTGCAATTGCAGTTGGCAAGATCGCCCACTTGAGAGATTAGTGCGGAAAATGCCGTGTTTCTTCAACGGGAGGGCCAACAATTGCTCAAATGTCTATCCGGCGTGTTTATCTGCCAAATGCCAACCATTTCAAGCCAACTGTGCATACTGGGTCCTTGCTCAATGCCCTAGCGCTGCTGGAAAAAGCATTGCAGCACATGGAATGCTGAAAATAACTCAACAACTAAATCATTAAAGAGATGAACGCCCCCTATTTGAGATAGATTTGATCATTCTGAATTACTCAGATGGACTTGATGTCATCCATCTGCAGTGATATCTCAGGTGTTTTCCCCAGATTTGCTCCGACGATCTCGTCCTTCTTCGTCCTTCCCAGGTGGCTTTCCAGTGACTAGCGAAGTGCTCTACATCCACCAGGGTTGGGTCTTCTTGCGCGCCATCGAGGGCCTCGTGGGCGAACGCGCCTACTTGGTCGCCCCGGGGGACAAATGCGAATACGCCACTGGGACGGCGTACAACGCGAGTACAACGGGATCCGGAGGGTTCTGAAGGACAGAAGGTGAGTACAGCATGGTACGCCTGAAAGACGGGATGTTTGGAGGATGGACATTTGAGAGATCTGATCTCTTTGCAGGGGAAATGTCTCTTCTGGCAGGCGAAGTTACGTATACTATAGGATAGATCCTGCATACGCTGGGCAGGCCGGTCCTAAGCCGATGGGTCGAGCTGCTTGTTGGAACCTGAGGTTTGGGACCCGGATGACTTGCCCAAAGGCAAAGGACGAGGCAAGGGCGGGCAGAGAATGAAGATCAAAATTCCCGAGAAGACGGAGGAGGAACTCTCGTCCAAGACGTCGCCTAGAGAAGGACGGTTTTTTGGGGATGGCAGGGTGGAGGAGAGGAGATGGCAGGTGCTTGCAGGGTGTTCATCTACTGACCGGTTTAGTGTAAAAAGGATTTTCTTGAGAGATGCTGCACACTGGTCTCCCACGAGCAGCAAGAAGAAGAAGAAGACAGTGACAGCATGACCACACGAACGATTGTCTCTCCGTCTCTCCCCTTGTGAATTGGATCCTTGAGACTAAGTATAGGGATCAAGTATGATGAATTCAGCAACCCGCCAAAAATGGTTCCCGAGGTGTGCGAAGCTCATGCGAAGCCTAATTTGAAGTCGGTAGGGCCAGGTAGTTTGCCTCGCATGGTCCTTGCTTGGAACCCTATTAGCTCTGGGAACTATTGGATGCAGAGGTTCTGGATGTGATGGAATGGTGCAATGATCTCTGTCGACCTGGTACCGCTCCAGGTGTTTTTCTTTTTTAATGACCCTTTTCAAGGGAAAATGATTGATCATGGGAAAATCCAATGTTATATGTTATATAATATATAATAATATGTTGTTATATAGTCAACCCCCAGTGGGAAGAAGATCGGTCATCAGAAAGTCAACAAGACACCTTCACTTGGCCATAGCTTTCAAGCATCCTTATTGAAGGATAGCATGTTCCAACCCCTCAAGCACATCTATAATGATGGGATATGATGGGATATGATATAATATGATTTTATTCAGCATGGCCACTGTACATGTTTGACAGGCCAGCCTTGATGAAGCCAACGTCTATCCTGGCCCAGGTTCTCCTTCGGCATCAAGATGGCCTCGCAACTGTCTTTCCTACGGCCCACCTGGTACAAGCCCCTCGGGCGGAAGTGACGCGATCCGCTTTGGCATGGAGTGGTGCTCGGTGGTGCCCTATTCTGCTGACTGGTCTGACGAAAGTAGGGAATGAGAATGACCCGTCACTTTGTGGGATTAGCCTTCAGAGACCATCAAATCGAAAGGTTGACGTGGTGTTGTAGTCTAAAAATCCTTGCGGATCCTGGCGGATTTTTTGGAATCCGTCGCCACTACACATTTCCTCACTCAGATCGGCCGCCTCCTCCTCTAGGCAGATCGGCCTCTCTGAGCGGCAGAGGGGCGGCCCCACTGGGGGCATCTTGTCCCGGGGAAGTTCGGTGAAGATCACCGGCGGCAACTACAAGGCGCGGTCCGCGCGCACCCCGCACGCCGAGCCTGGCCCGATCCGATCGTGCCTGGCCCGGGCTGCGGGATTGGGAGTGGGACAGGTGGAATCGGTGGTTTTGGGCGGAGGAGGGGGGAACTGAGGGGGAAGTGGGAAAGCATGTGTTTTTCAATGAGGTTTTGTCGAGAAAGTTTTGTTTTGGTTGGTTGTCTTAACAAGGGGGAGGGTGGGACGAGCGAAATGATTGTTTTGGTTTTGAAAGATCCAAAAGCCCGAGGGTTTTGGGTGGGCCCCGTGGGCGACGGGTTCATTGCACGCCTTTTGTTCTTCACAAGGTGGTTATCTGCGCACGGTGGGTTTTGGCCACCAGGATTCATTTGAGGCTATGTGTAGAGTTGCCACTATGGTGATCACCAGGGAGGTTTTTCAGTCATGCGCATCAAGCGTTTCACCAAGGGTGTGGGAGACAGTCCATTTGCAGCTCAGATGTTGGACATGAACTTGCAGCTCAGAAGTTGGAAGGGTCATCGGGACACATAAATGTATGAAACACATGTACCCGCATTTGCATACATTAGCAGACATGTATGAAATCACCCCTCCCTTGGTAGACTTGGACCGGGTGATTTGGAAGGTAACTCATAGTTGACGCGTTGCTCTTTGTGGCCGAGACTCTCATGACAGGTCTTTTGTGCTCTTTGTGGGCTTCTTGTGTTTTGTTAAGCGTGCTACACAGAAACAGAAGGTGCCAGATGCTTAGGAGCAAAGCAGGAACGATCCTGTTTCTGTGCGATTCTTCTTCAATACCGGCAACTATGCGTTTACAATGCAAAAGTTGGTAGTATAAGACTATTCTCATGATTTGCAGTTTACCCCTCTATATACTAGCCATCCACATTTTCAGGCAAGAGGATGTGCCAAATAACCCCATCCCCGGGTCCTGCAAATGTGAGAACTGCGGCTGCAGGGCATGCGGGGAGAGATCCGCGATTTGCTAGAGGATCGCGTCCGGATTTCCTTGTTGCCCCTTGGTATGGCTGGCCCTCGATGACCATGCAAATGGGTGGGTCTTGGGTCTTGAGTGTTTGTCCATGGGTGTGGTCGGCACTGACGCCCTAGTTCTCCGCGAGTGATTGGGGTCCACCATCTGGAATGTTATGCAGGCCCAAGAGGTTGATTGCTGCATCCGTGCCAGAAGTCTTTCAAGGCCTCTGAAGCTGGGGAGAAATTCCTTGAAGCGGTTGGACGTTCAATCAACTGAGCCAATCCGGAAGGAGATGTCGAACAGGTCGCAGGCACCTTAGTCTTGGTCGCAGTCTGGGTTTCTGGATCCAGGAGGCGCCCGTAAGAGCAGGCAACCCAGACACTCCCTGAAACTGGCACATTTATGCCTAGTTACTGCATGGTTTTTGAAAAGGGGTCACTAGGGCGGCATGGCATGTACTGGCATTGCAGTCCCATCAGTGGTGTTTTCGGAAAGACATTTGATTCGCGTCACGGTCTCCCCCAGACGATGTTCCACGGGCTTGTTCTCGAACGGAGCAGACGGACCAGTTGGGCAGCTCCATGAGTTGGAGCCACCAGAGTCCTTAGTAGCGTCCTTATACTATATAGTAGTGACCTTGTTACTAGTATAGCTTCTTCCTAGTAGCTATTTGCTCCTAGTGACTAGTGTGCATCCACTTGGGGCTCCTTGGATCGTTATTTCGACCTGTCTCCGGTGGGCAGGTCTGGCAAGTCCAGCCTTCTCTGAGGTCTGCACCGAAGCTCGTGGAAGTGTCGGTGAACGATGTCCGTGAGGACGACTACACGATGCAGATCGAGAGCGATCACCTGAGGGTTGGCGACCTAGTCCGGTGGGTATTCTGTGTAGGGACCTGGTAGGCAGTTGCATCCACACGAAGGACCGAAAGACCTGAGCCCGACTCCTTTCGCTTTCAGGACGGCATCGTCCTTCATCAGGATCGCAAGGTTTTGAAGTCTATCAACAACCCATTGTTAGATTCTTAGATGTCAGCCGATCTACCCCACCGTCCCGGACTCTCGGTTTAACTTGCATATTTACCCCTTCAGGCGTTGCACCGGAGCTTTGTTCTTTCTTTTGGAAAACGTCGGGACCGAGGCGTGAACAATGGTCTTCCTCACCGACCGTAGTTGACACTCTCAAGACATGTCAAAACCTTGCGTCAAACATGGCATCGGATTTCTCACATTTTCTCGCCCAGGGGGCCACATACAGAGCTGGGCCTCGCACACCGAGCGCCGCACCCATGCCAGCGCCAAAGGCCGGTGGCGGGGTTGACCGTAGGGACGTGGGGACCCGGTCGGTCACAGCCCGCGTGTCGAAGCGGCCAGGTGAAAAGCCAGAAATCACTGCCAAACCCATGAGGCAAGTGACCAAACAGCCTGACCCAGGTCCAAACCTGGTCCAAAGTAGTGCTTTTGCATTACCAACTCCAGTGAGGTCAAACTGACCTATAGGGAAATATATCAAAATATAGGAGGAAGTGTCCGACTCTCGCTGAAGCAGCCCGGTCTTTGAGTCATACGCCCAACAGCCGGGGTACAGGTGCACTTGTATTCTATATGCATTGTGTTAACGGTAATGATCACCCAGGCCCTCGACATGTCCCGCATTCGGTTTGCCAGCGAGGTGAAGAAGAGCGCGGAGCAAGAAATTGCAGATGGCATCGATAAGGTCCCCATGCCTACTGATGATCAGGCCCAGTGTAGGGATGTGGCCGCTATGTAAGCTTGCTGACCCCGCTAATGTTCAGCAAGCTTCGGTCGTAGCTGCGGGCAGGAAGATTTGGTTCTGACAGATCTCTGGAAAAGGGCACCCGAGACTACAGCAGATGCTTCCACATGTCCATTTTCTGGCCACATCCTTTATCCAGGCACGTTGCTTGGAACTTCGGACCCAATTGTCCGACAGACCAACACCCTATAATTGTCCAGCAATCAGTTCCAAGTCCAGGATGCCCCACCCCCACCCACCAAGTTCTCATCCGACGGCATCGCCGAGGCCTGGGACCCCTTGTGGTTGGAGCTGGGCTCCGGCGACACCTCTGCGCCCATCACGCCCGCGCTGTCGATCGTCTCCACCAGCCGCCGCCGGCGGAAGACGCGGCTTGATGCCAACCTCATGGCCGAGACCGAGGCGGGAGATGAGACCAGAGGAGAGGTCCGGTGCGACCGGCGTTTCAGCTTTAGAATCCGAGCCCCAACCAACACAATAGGGTTTTGAGATGCTTGGTTCGGCTCCGTTCCACCCTGGGTAAGAGGTCGGGCACGACCCCTGGCATTTTGAGGGAAGCACTGCAGAGAGCGCTGGATTTTTAAGAAGACCTGGTGACCGACCGTCGAGTGACGATTTGGATCGACTGGGAGGTGGGAGCGATCTTTTGGGGGTATTCTATAGTTCAAGCATGTTCAAGCAGCAATCTTGGAAATTGGGGAACGCGTTTCAATGACGCGGCCACAAGCAAACTGGTAGGATTGTATGCATGAAGTTTAAGCCAGGTGTCCAGCCTTGATTGATCATCAACCACCTAGCTTTGGAAATCTTTGGATGGAGCATGGGGAATCTCCTGTGGGCTTGTTGCCACGTCATAATATCGTACTATACTATTAACCTTCAGTTTCACAACTGTGGGCTTTGGAGGCCGCTGGACCGTCCGTCGGACCGGTTCCTCATCTAACAGAAAACAACACCGCATCCGCAGCGCCCAGGCCGTCGCTGCTGCCTGAGATCACCTGAATCGACGCCAATGCCTGCCTACCGACTCGGTGGCCGACCCCAACGGTCGAGTGCGTCCGACAAAGAGTCCGGCTGTTGGGAATCGCAGGGAATTGTTTGTTCAATTCTTTGAGGGGGCTGCGCCAAACATCCAAAACCGAAGTATTTTTTTGAAAAGGATGTTTCTGTGTTTGTTGCCTTGGGGGAAATGGTTCAGTTTCGATTTGGGAAGTTGAGAAGGAGTCGGTGTTTCGATGTGTTTTGCAATGGGGAACTTTATTGTTCACCTTCTCTCAAGCCTTGGATCCCCACCCAGTGCACTACAACCGGCCTCCGTCAGACCTCTAGGGCTTCAGGAGGATGGAAGGCTGACAAAGAAGCAATGATAAATCGAGTCTTTGGATTTATATAGACTAACTTATAGACTATTTAAAATCTCATGACTCATGAGCATCAAGTTGAGTCAATATTCAAGTTAGGTTTCATTTCCATTTGCCGCGCCCGAGTAAAATCAATACTGGAAGCAATTCAACTACTTCAATCAAGCCGCAGAACTGGATTTGAACACAAGTCCTTCACCTGTGCATATCTTGAGGTCATTATGACGTGATCCGATATGTTCTTAGATTGAGTGTGAATGACTGGAGTGCCAACGCTCACACCACGACTGTTCCCTCGAATTGGCTCAAGCCACACTTGTCCTATTTCAGCCCTTCCAGTGCTCCAAGCACTGTGCCGCTTGGTGAGGCTGATCGGGTGATTTGATGTGCTGTGTTGATGGCTCGATAATATGTTTGAGCCTTTCACCATGCAACATTGCTGTGGTGCTTCCAAAACAATATAGGATAATAAGATACAATAAGTATATTACCCTTTCTTAATTGCCATTTTACTTGTCTAAAAAATCCATGTGCACACCGTTGCTGCCGTGGAGAAGTTGCATGGAACCCACTTCTGGACAATCGATATTGAATTTCGATCTGTATTCCAAGTCACACACGTAAAATGATCCAATGGAAAACTAGAAAGACAATGCCCGTTGAATGCTTGGCTGGTTGGCGTTGGTGCCTCGTTCTTTTTTTCTTCCAGGTCCTTTAGATGGTTCACACATGTTCACACGTTCTTGACCCGCGAGTGACACATAGCAGCATGACATGATGGCTGCCACCGTCCGTGTTCTACGTGCCACACCTCCGTGCCGCACGTCTCCGACGTTATATTTGCTGCAACTTCTACTTCCTACGTTTCCTAGGCTAAATCAATACACAGCGCCTTGTGGATGTTGTGTTTGTTCCATGATTTTTCAAGAGATTCCTGTCATACATTGGTCGTTGAATTGAACATGTGTCGGGGATAACCTGGACAACAACGTGGGGATATAACACTATAACAATGATTAAGTTAAACTGATTCAACATAATTAAACATACAATAATTAAACTCTCTCTCTATGTATTTATATATAGAACCACAATCCCCAACCATTTGGACCCACGCCATCAAGAGTCCGCTTGTTACTCACAGGTTTTGGCCTGCCTTGTGTCGCCATGTGAAAAATAACAACCCCGCAAAACACGTGGTGTCGCGCATTCCTGCACCTTTACTCTCCCTGGAACTAACATGGAAGTGGAAAACCACCTGTTTGTAGTGGAAAATGGTCTTCCAAGGGGCCATTCTCCACTTTCATGTTAGTTCCAGGGAGTGTAAGTTTGGTGAAGCACGGCAAAGGGGGAAGGATGACGTGAACCAAGTACGCCCCATTTGGCCGAAGGCGTCGTGGGGTTGCCAGGTGGTTTTTAGTCCACTTATTGGTGGGCTGCGCGCTGCCTTTGAAGACTGTGAAGCTCCAAATCCTCATGGACACATCGCACTTCAAGAGTCCACTCCTCCTTCGCACTCCAAAAAAACTATCCTCCAACCTAAGAGCGATGGCCTCCAACCTACTAGCGGTGGCCTCCAACCTAAGAGCGGTGGCCTCCAACCTGCTAGCGATGGCCTCCAACCTAATAGCGATGGCCTCCAACCTAAGAGCGATGGCCTCCAACCTACTGGCGATGGCCTCCAACCTAAGAGGGATGGCCTCCAACCTAAGAGCGATGGCCTCCAACCCTAAGAGCAATGGCCTCCAACCTAAGAGCGATGGCCTCCAACCTACTAGCGATGGCCTCCAACCCAATAGCGATGGGCTCCAACCTAAGAGCGATGGCCTCCCACTTGCTAGTGATGGCCTCCAACCTAAGAGGGATGGCCTCCAACCTAAGAGCGATGTCCTCCAACCTACTAGCGATGGCCTCCAACCTATTAGCGGTGGCCTCCAACCTAATAGCGGTGGCCTCCAACCTAGCAGCGATCCTCCTTCACACTCATTCCAAAATGTTCCTTCAGCATCCTTCATAACCCAAAATGATCCTTCAGCATCCTTCATAACCACCAATGTGGCCAGCGGCTGAACAGAATGACCCACAGTTTTCCCTATTTTGCTTTGCAGCTTTACTCCTCGGGAAGAGAGACCTCCCAAAGACCCACTGGGAAGCCCATCGGTTGAGCGCCCCCTATTAAACATTACACTCCCGAAAACAAACATAGACCCTGACAATGGCCCGCTGGAAGGGTGTTTTCCTCTACCAACCAGTGGTTTTCAGGGTCCATGTTAGTTTTCCAGGGTGTAACAAAATAAACCAATATAGTAGCTAATTCCCGCAGCGATTCATATTTCATCATCAACTGAGGCAGCCTGCGCTCATGCTACTTTTATGGACATATTCTTGCCATCGAGTGCCGCAAGTGGGATAGTGGACTACCAAGAGCTACAACATATGGAGTCACAAATTGTTTACCTAACGGTTGCCCTCTCACTGCCTCTCACAACCTTCCCCCCAAAAGACCGAAAAGACCAATTACAGTGGTTTCAGACAGAGTAGATGGCACAAACCCCAAGAGGTCTTAGACAGATTGGGGATTCACTACTAAACCACCGACATTGGGGATTGTGCCATTGGCCATCTCAATCCACTGTGGCCATCCCTTTTCAGCTTCAAACAGGCCCTTCTTCACTCTCTGGGACGTGACGCGTCAGCGTCCGCAGCGGTACGCTGCCGAGGTCGTTGTTTGTTTCGCCACCACCCAGCTGAAAGATGGGCTCGGGGCTGAGGGAGGCCGGCGAACCAGGAGTCAGGGACCCTTGATAGGGTTTCCCCTCCTCAAAAATCGCCACACCAAGACAGGTTTTGGAAGACTGGATTTTGCATAGCCATTGTGGGGCTTGAAAGGTGGGGGCTCCTCAACGGCCTCTTTTGGATCTGTTGGGCGTTGCTGGGGTGGCACCGGTGATGCCCTGTGACCGCCTGTGCCCTCCAACTTTGATGAGAGCCTCAAAGGTCACCTGAGGAGGTGGTTCATGCCCTGCAGTACAAAACACACAGACACAAACGGAACAAGCATCATCACCCAGATTGGTCCACAGCAGTGGGACGCATGCTGTGTTTCTGATGTGCGTCATGCGGGGTGGTGTATGTCGTGCTGCTCAGCTTGCATGAATGGGGAAGGATTTTCTAGGGGTCGTCAGGCTAGGTCATGCTATGTCCACTTTTCGCCTGAGATCCTGGTTTTGTTTTAGGCGATGTGTTATTTCCCTGTGTTTGAATCCCCTTCTGGGGGGTATGTTTTGCTTTATCAACCTTACTAGTATTGGGATTATCACATGATTCTGCGTCTCGGTCACGTGATTCTTCACTCCACCCAGGTGCCAAGGTGGCCATGACCTATGTGATTCTGTGCTCGGTCTCCGCATTGGGCAGCTGGGCGGCAGTTTTGGGTGGTGGAGCTGGGCGGACCTGACTGGCACATGATGAACAGGCGCCAGGAAAGTTGGCCAATGCCTCATTAGGATTCAAGCAAGTTTGCCTCCAGGAGCCAACTATGTAGTTGGGTGTCTTTGATACTCTCAATGAATAGTTCTGACTGTGAACTTGCCATTTTCACCGCCTCTCCTGAAGTAGTTGTTGCTGGATGTTGCTGGGCAGGTAGATGGGACGAGAATGAATTGAATGCTTTGGGGTCCACGATTTGGCAGCCGATCTCCACAGCCCCGACCTGCAGATGACCTGCACTACGACTTCCCAACCATGACAAGACACACACACACACACACTACCAGCATCTACCCGCCATCCGGAGCCCCCACAGACCTATAGTCGCTTCATTGTGTCAAAGGCCTCCAGGCCCAGCATGGCCCAGCACCAGGAGTCTCGAAGACAAGCCCCACTGTTGGCCCCCTCAATGTATTGGCTCATCTATATCTAATCTGCACCAGCTTTGACCAAAGGTCCTCCCAATGCGGCCTATTCCTGTTCTGTATTGCTGTTTGACCGTTTGATGTACATATATATATATATACTGTAAACACAATTGATGGGTATAAACTGTATAAACAACATTTTGGCAGTTTTCAGTAAACCGGGTGTGTGGCGAGAGATCCTGACAAATTGTGAAGGTCTTCACATGGTGCGCACTAGTAATTTGATGAGATTCGCAGAGTGGGTTTTCAGGTCAGTTCATCTCTCTCTTCTGTCGGTGGCATATGGTGACTCAGAATGCATGTAGCGTGAAAAGGAGGACTTGAACGGTTTTTGCATCACCAGTTCACCCGGTCCAAAATCATGTTATTTCGGGGGTGTGGAGGCTTAGACATACGTTCTATTGATTTTAGTGTCATGTCAATTTTTCGGACTCCTTGCAGAAGCAGAGGTGTTTGAAACACCGTTTGTGCCAGCGGCCTAACTGGAATTGGTCCACCCAGCCGACACATAGAAGGCTGACTTTTTGCTGGTAAGCCAGAGCCGATTTTCAGCTTTGTGAGACTGTCATGTTTACGTGCATGAGGGTTGCTTGAGGTGTCATTGCAGGTGCATACAAGAATAAATATATATATATATATGTATAGTTTTGTGACATATTTGTACACAGATTCCTCCAATTTTGGGGCACCAAGGGAGACCAACGGAGCTGTTGATTCACTGCTACTTACTGTAGGAGTTGTTTGATTTGTATACACGGCTTTCTTCAGTACCAATATTGGCCCTAGAATGAGGGACCGGGAGCAAAAAATACAGAGAATGAAAGATTGGTGGGCAGCAGGCCCAATGACAGGGACCGGCCATCGGATTGCGCCGATTTTGAACACGCAGGAGTTGGCATTGTTGTGCAAAGCTCTCTCCTGAATTCACCTAACGATGTTAAACAAGTACACGGCCGAGTTGTCACATATTTTTAATGGATATGACTCTGACTTGATATTCATTTGCGCATATGCCTCACATAGCCCACCAAGTCTCGCAAGAAATTGCTTTATCTATAGGGCGCGGTATTGGTTACTATATAGGAGGGGTTTTCAACGCTCGAAACCACGATGCTAGGGAAGGGGATGCAGATGTGTGTGGGCCTTATATCAACGGAAGAGGCATGGAACACCCAAACCATATGACCGAAAAAAGAAAGGAAAGCACCAGTAATCATGTTTTGAGTGGCCAGTGTTCGAAACCACACACACACACAGAAAGGACGACTGGATTTGGATTTTGACTCCCTTTTAATTGCTGAAAGATCCACTCAAATTCATCGATTACTGGCTGACGAGCGATGGAAGATGCCGTTCGGGAACGAAAAATTCCGCGAAGGTCGCCGACGAGAGATGGACCTAGTCAGACTAGTCACCACCGCAATGGCAGTCCAAAATATCACATACCAGGGTCATCCTGTCTGGGTGTCCTGGCTAGACTACCCTACCTTACGTAAACAGGCCTCCATTGGGCACCCATTGGACGTGCTAGGTAGGTACTGTAATAGGCTCTTAAACCTTCTCCCAAATCAATGGATTCTACTCCGGGGTATAATAAAGTGTGTTTTGAAACTTGATCAAAGGGAAGGACTTCTGTACGCGGCCGCGTGCAGTTTGGAGAAGGTACCTGGAAAAAAAAGGTACTAAGGCAAAGAAACCAACTAAGGACACTACGTATATTATAGATCAAACAATGACGTTTCGAAACGGGCGCTGCTAGACTGCCGAAACCATTTAATTGAGAAGTTCACTGAAACCACAACTGGTCCAAACTAAAAGGGTCTGTGGAAGGCAGTTTAGAATCTAAAACGTAAGTTCACCCGACAATATGTTCACATGGACAATTTGAATGGGGCACAAGTCCCAATAAAGGAAAGAGCGCAAACTATCGAGAATATATCTTGAAGTGAAACACTGGAAGAAGACTCTGAAGCTGGCGTGTCTGACAGCTCTTGCTTTTGTGACGACAACAATGATGAAGGCCTTTTCAAACTGAATGAGTTGGAACCAGCATTGAAGGCAGAACGATGATAAATCACTTGTGCCTCCTTAACCTGATCAACCGTTGGTGGACTAAACAACAAGCGCCCAAAGAACTGTTTGTTGCTAGGGTTGCTCCATTTTGTAAGAAAGGTGACGCGGACAATGTGGCGAATTGCCGTCCAATCTCACTTTTGAGCACCATCTACAAGGCTTACATGATCATCACCCGATGCCGGATGCAAAATGCCACTGAAAAAAGTAATCAATAATTAACTCAATATGTCTTGTGGCCTGGATAATCAACCTCCCACACCATATGTGTGATCCGCAAAGTCCAAGACTATTCTGAATCTAAAGGTTTTCGTCTGAGTTTAGCCGCCCTACTTGATTGGGAGAATGTGTTTGATAAAATCCAACATGATAGACTAATTTTCGCCTTAGCAATATGGGGTTCAGTCCGCACTTGTGTGAAAGATACTTTTGGATGCTCTGACTAAGAAACAATCTGCAGGACTATGGCAGGGATGCCCCTTATCCTCATATTAATATTGTTTCGTTATTGTCATGTCGTTTATTGACTGTGATATATGAGCGGTGCAGTCGATGGGTGTCCAATGGTTTACTTTGACATGGTTTACTATGCCGATGATACTGATACGACCCTCTTCTCTACAGAATAGTTTTGATTTGTTTTGATGAAAGTAATCTCCGGCAGATTTGCTTTGCGCTTGACAAGGGTTTTCATGCGCGCGAGTTACATGTTTTGAGCCGCCATCGCCCGAGGTGAGCATTGGTGGCGGTTTCATCCTCACGATGTACACCACCCTCTTCACGACGCGTTTCGACCATGGAGCCGCCGTGCACGGCCGCGTCCCGGCATCGGGATGAAGTCACAGTGAAGTCCATGGCGTTGTTGTTGGTTGAGCGTAACCCGGCAGTGCTCCCAAATGTCTTGTAGATACCGGAAGATGTTCTGTTCAGAAGGACGCGCACACATCAAGGTCATTCATGTTGCATAGCAAATTGTTTGATCTACCCAACCACCGTTCAACCCCCGCCGGCTCTACAGGCTTGAGGGGTACTGAAGTATCCTCCCTCCTTGTTGCCTTTTTTCTCGCAGTTTCATCCTCATCCCCATGCTCTTTTTTATGAGTGTTCCCAGCTATCCACCCCCCTTCTCTCAAGTGACCCCCTCTTGCCTGCAGGAGTCACTACACTTTGCACGCCTCTCGCCAGCAAGGACGGAACCAAATAGGGCCAGAGACAAGCAGAGGTACTTGGTTTTCCTGTGAAAGAGGGCCTCAAAATGTACACTGGTGCCGAATTCCGCTGTTGGGCCACCATTCCGTGGCCCAGATGTGAGCGGCTTTTTTTTCCGGCCCACAGGTGCATCGTTGTTCAAAAGAGTTCTTCCATCGGGTGACCTTAGGAAGTCTGAACTGCGGGTCTTCACAGCCTGACTAAGTTCAGGTGCACGGTGCAAGCATGATCGATCTCGTTCGATTTGGACCTCCATGGCGGCCGAGGCTCATGACCAAATGGGAGAAGTGCCGCGACATAAAGAAAGGCTCGGTCAACATCGATTTGAACAGGAGATAGCACTCAGCAAATGTAGATAGAGTTGAATTCGTCAAACTCAGTGGATGGTTTTTGACTCGTTCTGTGTGGACGGAAGGTGTTGCCCGTGCAAAGGGATTGAATCCCACCTTGTCATGTTCTTTTCTGGCCCATGGGCCTTACACCTCTCAGAGACAGTTGGCATCCGGAAGCCAAACTGGCTGGCTCGACCCATGGCTCACAGGGAGCGGACATACTTTCAAACCGCTCTTTTGGTACTTCTCAAGCCGTTAAGTATGGGCTACTTACGGCTTGAGAAGTGCCAAAAGAGCGGTTAGTTGACCCAAGATGTACCTAAAAACGTGTGGAAATCTACTTTCAATTCGCCCCGAAGTCGATTTCCACAGCCAGGCATGTGGCTTCAAGATGTTCAATCCCAAACGCTCCTCGTCAGCTCTGGGACGCCTTTGGGCGGATCCTGGCGGCAAGAATACCCCATCACCCTCCACCCCATCCCGATCTGCGTGAATTCAGTGGGGATTCCTGTGATACCGTATGCATGTTTGCAGTAGACATGTCAGTTGTTGAAGGTTCAAGGTAGGCCTCGCAGGATGGGACCCATTTTTGTCGCGTAGCCAAGTGACACCCAGATGTTTGTTGATGTTTACTTGCTTAGTATTTGTATGCTTTGGGTCTGTCCTGTTACCTGCAACAGTCACGAAACAATTATCACTCGTTTTGGGTCACTCGGCCTGCAGCCTCACCATCATCCACTGGTTTCTCGGATAGACCCAATGTATGCTTATGACCAGTCCTCGGGTGATGTGCATATCATATTTGATGGAGCGGATTTGGTTGCCATCAGACTCCCTTCGCAGCTCATGCCACCTTTAATACACCTGGGACCTGCATACGATTTGCTAGCATATATATACTCCTGTGAAAGATGCTTGACTCGACACCAGCCAAAGCCACTTCCCTGTCCAAAGGCGCTTGCTCCCAGGTGCATGCCAGCCCTGACCGCGCTGTCCAACGTGCCATGCCATGCTTTCAAGACTGCCTACATCATGGGGATGATCAGCGCCTCAGCTAAGCCTTTCGCATCTTCCGCCTTCCTGTTATTATTGTTCTTACCCTCGTCACAGCTGGTCAAACTATGTTAAACATAAACCAAAAACTGCTGAGAAAGGAGCGTTTCTGACCGTATGGTGGTGGCTCGCTGCCCCGCGAAACTGGTAAAGAGTTGCTGCGATGACTAGAAGACAATGAAGCAGTTTGGCGCTAAAAAAGGCATTGCAGGTGAGAGAGGAAGGGCTTCAAAATGCACTGGAAGTGCTCATGCTGCTGTCAAGAGTTCTACTCTTGCTTGGGGTGCATGTTGTTTTTGTGACTCGCCTGCAGAATGTTTGCTTTTACCCAACTCCTCTATAGAGCATGGTGCAGGGCTCATGGATCGTCGAGGGGTGCTGAAGCTGCAGCGATGTGACTTGAGGTGTGCTCGCCTTTGTGTTCAACTGGATCCTGATGCTTGCAAGCTGCGGCATGTTGTGGCAGACCCTTAGCAGATGTGTAAAAATCACGCAAGGTTTCATTCATAGCATTGATCCGGAGGTTGGTTGTTTTGTTTCAAGGACGGTTTCATTTTCTGGGTTCGGCACAGTGACAAGTCCTGACTTCCTTGCGCATCCCTGTACAACGACAACCGTTGAGCGATCGTAGACCCGTAGAAGACGAACCATATATATATATATATATACGCTATTACTTTAATCCTTTGACCTGCTGGTCCTGATGGTTCGATTCCTCAAAGATCCTGGAGGTAATAGCCCAGTTTCCTCTATTTTGGCTGGCCCCCATACTCTTGAGAGACCAGAACTTTGGAAGAATACATTGAAATGACAGACAAGAGTAGCCTCTCGTCGTATTCCTGTTTGGTCAGGTGTGCCCCAGGAATTGGTGGTTCAGGAAGGAGTGTCTAGGAAGAGCTTGTCACATGACATGTTTTTAGGATATATATATATATAGAACCCGATGGACCCCTGTTTTGGAGCCAAAACATGGTCTTTTCCTATCAAAACAGGGGTCAAATGGGTTCTAGGTATATATATATATATTTAGGATGAATGTGATCAAGGATGTTGCAGCCCATTCCGGCTCCATGCAGGGAGCTTTCGCATGTTAGGAGCCTGGACCAACTTTCACTTCTTTCTTCAACATGCTCACCAAGTCCTAGGGCTATCAGAACCGATCTTCCGAAACCTCAACAAGTGAAATGAGGTACCTGCGTGGGAAGCACAAGCCAGAGTACCGCAACATTTCCTTCTACTTGATCATCGCCGGCGCGCGACCTGGCAGGTGCTGTGGTTTGGGGGCGTTTTCCTCCATACAGTCGGGTTTTCACAAGTATGGGAAAGTCCCAGTTATTTGTTCAGAAGCTGCGAGCGGAGTAGTGAGGAGGAACAATTTGGGTCGTCACAATCCATCCGCTGATTTCGGTACATAATTGGACATTAAAGTGAAGCGCCTTGGAAACGTATGGTCGGAATGACGAATTCCAGCGCCCTATGTCAAACAGGGTTCACCTCAGCACACATTATATAACCATATAAAGTATCATTATATATATATATGTGTGTGTGTGTGTGTTTGATAGCAAGACGCCAGTGCAATTGTCAAAACATGTGCCTCCTGTCAACAAAGACAACCCCCCACCTGGGTGAAAACGTACCTGCGGTTGGTTCTTGTTTTTTCATCAAACTGTTGATTACGCCATCACGCTGTCCACTGGGTCCCTGCTTTGTTTTCAAATATACACCTTGATCACAACAGATTCATTACTACCAGTAATTTTTATCCCTGACCGCAACTAATCACAGCTGAGAGGTCCAGATATCCTGGCTGAGACATTCGTCTCCTCAGCGGGTTTTCAAGTGTGTGTATGTGTGTGTGCGTGACACCCTTGGAGTCACAGGGAATCCTTTGACAAGTGTGTTTTCTTTGTTTTTTTGGCAGCAGGGGAGCGGTGGGCCTTCTTGAAGTCACCGCCCAACGAAAACGCTTCAAGTTTGCTGTGACATGCAATCTGGACGCAGATTGCATGTACCTGCGAGAAGATGCTTACTTCATAGGGATTTCATTGAATTGGCTTTTCCTTGTTTGTTTTCTTAGGCGTTTATACCTTGGTCGCCGTGTGGCATGTGGCATTCAATTTCCGTACGCATAATCTTGAGTGTGTCTGGCGTCATGCCAGCCCAGGGTGTACCCGAGGAGTGTCCCCTTCCCCCGTTGAACGGGGGTATGTCCAACGTTTCCACTGCCCGGAAACAGAGCAGCTCACAGCGAGCGTAGAAGGCTTATGCCAAAAAGTTATGTGCCAAGACTTGCTGAATTATTGCATTGGAGTAGGTAGCCTTCAGGCAAGCCAGAACGTGTCCACAGCGGACAGAGCAGGCAGCCTACGGGCACGCCACCACGTGGTCGCAGCGACCAAAGCTGCTCAAGGTCCACTTGGATTTGTTGGAGCCTTATGTGCACACACACACACACAGCACGCACATTCGAAGCTAGGCTTGGTCCTCCTAGGTTTGTCAATGAGGTTTGGCTTCGTTGTTTTTCGGCCCCTCCATTTGGATCCCCCTTTCATCCTTTCCCCTTCACATACACTTTCTTTCCTTCTTTCATTTCACGCCTTCCCTGCCTTCATGTCCCGTCATTTCATTCCTTTCTCTCTTTTGCGTGCACATCGGTCCGGCCCGTAGCATGTACGCGCACATCTACATTTGACCCAGGCTTCAGGTCGCCCAGGTCTCGATAATGAGGAGGTTTGGCTCACCGGTTGTCCCTGTGCACTTGGTTTCCCCGTCATCGCAGCCACACGCACACGGGTTTTATCCTGTCTTCTTTTCATGTCTTCGTCTTCTTGTCTTTTTGCACGCGCGCCTGCGCAGTAGTCTGCCCCTTAGCTTTCCGGCTCCCCATGTGGGGTGTGTGTGTGTGTGTGTCAAGCCCTGTTTCTAAGGGTCCACCGCTTCTCTCGCAGGGGGACGGGACACCACTGGCATTTCCCGTCCAACGAAGAGGATGCCAGTAGGTGCTGATGCAGTGGGGGACGCCCCACTGTGTACCTGTTCCAAACTGTTGACCACGCTGTGACCCTAATCTTCCTTGGTTTGCTTCCATGGTGGTTTACACGCTACTAAGGGCTCCTGGTATCACTACTAACCTATTAGTTTCTCAACGCCGAAAAAGAGGCAGGGGCGCGTTCTGCAGATGAGTAAACAGTTTGTTAAACAATTTCAGTTGCGCCGACCTTTTCACCTTGCGGTTCCATCACCTTCCTTCTCAACGTGGGAACTGAGTTAACTGCAAACCAATGTCAGAGTGTGAGCCGCTCAGCCGTCCCACTTGGGTGCTGGGTGTGATCCCTTCACTGGGGCGCTGAATTCACGCTGGAAATCATTTTCTCCACTTTTATAACTGAATTCACTTTCTCCACTTGTATAACTGAATTAACTGTTTCTCGAGCCGCCGGGCTATAAACGACGGAATACCATCAACTTACTTCACTTGCACCACCACGGAATACGGCTAAGTATTCACATGTCCTTGACATGCTGCTAAGTATTCACCTGTCCATGTCATGCTGCTAAGTATTCACAGGCCGGACGAATTTTTGTCAGTCGCGCAGCTTCTTTTACGGCTAAGTATTCACATGTCCATGTCATGCTGCTAAGTATTCACAGGCCGGACGAATTAATCGTGCAGCTTCTTTTCCCCCCTCCCTGCCCCTGGGCCTCCTTTGCTATCCCACCCGCTACTCGAGCAACAGAAGGAAATCGCACTCGACACACTTGTGTGTTGGTGCCTTTCCTTCTGTTTCTCCTAGCCTATTGCTAGCTACCCGGGCGGTTTAAGACAAATGTCCCGCTCGCAAACTACTTTCATTTAACTAAGTGGGCCTCAAAACTACCCCTATCTTTCTTTCTTGCCCTCTTAGTCTGCTTTTGTTTTGTTTGCTTTGTCTGTCTTTCTAAGGCCTTTTAGGTGGCTAATAGTTTTTCGCAGCGCCAATATTGGCGCTTTCTGTGCAAAAGTTCTCCGGGGAGTCAGGACGCTACTAGAGGCCCCTGGCCTCGCTACTACTTTGTAAGCAAGGGAGAACGCGCCGAATACGGCTTTGTGTGTGCGTCAAGCCCTGTTTCTAAGGGTCCACCGGTTCTCTCGCAGGGGGACGGGACACCACTGGCATTTCCCGTCCAACGAAGAGGATGCCAGTAGGTGCTGATGCAGTGGGGGACGCCCCACTGTGTCTGTTCCAAACTGTTGACCACGCTGTGACCCTAATCTTCCTTGGTTTGCTTCCATGGTGGTTTACACGCTACTAAGGGCTCCTGGTATCACTACTAACCTAATAGTTTCTCAACGCCGAAAAAAGAGGCAGGGGCGCGTTCTGCAGATGAGTAAACAGTTTGTTAAACAATTTCAGTTGCGCCGACCTTTTCACTTTGCGGTTCCATCACCTTCCTTCTCAACGTGGGAACTGAGTTAACTGCAAACCAATGTCAGAGTGTGACACCCTTGGTGTCACAGGGGTTCCTTTGAATTGTTTTTCTTTGTTTTCGTACAGCAGGGGAGAGGTGGGCCTTCTTGAAGTCACCTTCAATTTTGCTGTGATATGCAATCTGGACGCAGATTGCACGTACCTGCGAGAGATGCTTACCTCATAGTGATTCCTTTGAATTGGTGTTTCTGTGCTTGTTTTCTAGGTCGCTGCGCGGCATGTGGCATTCAATTTCCGTACACATAATCTTGTGTGTGTGCCCAACTCTGTTTCCAAGAGCAATTTTATTCATGTCAGCCGGGGGTGCCAGGGACCATGCAAGTCTGGCACTAACAATTGTAACAAAGACACTCGCATTGGTCTGTGATATAGCTCTGGGACGCTGGAGCTACGTACCTGCTCTTTGAACCAGTTGTGGTGTAAACATCACTGTTTTAGCCAACCTGATCGCCTTCCTGTTCCTCACAGGGCCATTGCTGCAGGTTCAGGTTTGTCAGCGCTCTAATTGTAACCTAAAGGGCTTCTGCGCTCGTGACCCGGCTTCTGAAAGTTACGCTCATTCATTTGAGCTGCATATCTAAGTGTGATCAGCGGCATCTTTCCACTTGGGTATGCCGTGTGATTGCTTCGGGGCGTCTGCTTCAGTCCTTTGGCAAAGGTTAACATTTCAGGCACCTGCGTTTGCATCGTGAGCCAGCTTCAGATCTAACCTGATCGCTTGAAAAAACTGAAGTATACTGCCGAGATTACGGAGAATACTTGACTGAATTTCACCGCATCCCATGGAATGTCATAGGGTGTTCAAGATGTTGCCATCCATTACTTTCACTCCTTCTTTTTGCTCTTGCTCTTCTCTCCCTTTCGTTCTCTCCAGAGGCTTGTTAGGTTGTAAATCTAGGTTGCACCGATACCGGATATATCATCACCAGCTTCGACTCGTATCATTTCGGCGCCCAGTCGACCTTTCTCTCTTTCCTTTTGTTTTTGTCTCTTCTCTTTTTATGTGTTTTCTTTCTTTTTCTTTTTTCACTGAGTCCACTTCACTGTACGGAGTTCTTTCATTCCTTCTTTTGCTCTTGCTCTTCTCTCGCTTTCTTTTCCTCTAGAGGCCCTTGAGGTTGCAAAGCAGAGCCCACTTCACTGCACAGAGTTCTTCCACTCTTTCCTTTTGCTCTTCTCTCGCTTTCGTTTCTTCTAGAGTTATGTCAGGCGCGCCAGCCATAGATACAAGGAACCAAAATAACTTTACAAAGCAAAGAAAACAAAAAAAACAAAAAAGTAAAGCAAACAAAACAACAAAAAATGTAGCTGTGCGTGTTTGTCGGTGTTTTTCACTTTTTCGCTCTATTTTCGCATTTGTTGTTCGCTCTATTTTCGCATTTGTTTCTTTTTTCCTAGGAGCGTAAAAACAAAGATTGGGCATTTTAATTTGCTTTTGTTTTTTCACAAAAATATTTCATGGTTGGTCATGTATGGCTGCCATTGCCCAACATAATTCTAGAGGTTTTTTAGGTTGTAAATCAGGCTCTTTGCCGAGTTTCTCAGTGCTTTCTTCGAGCGCCGAGTACGGCTTACTGTGTGTGTCCAACTGTGTTTCCCAGAACAATTTTAATCATACCAGCAGAGGGTGCCAGGGACCATGCAAGTCTGGCTATAACAAAGGCACTTGCATTGGTTTGTGATATAGCTCTGGTCTGGGACGCTGGAGCTACGTACCTGCTCTTTGGACCATTTGTGGTGTAAACAATACTGCTTTAGCCGACCTGATCGCCTTTCTGTTTCTCACAGGGCCATTGCTGCAGGTTTAGGTTTTTCAGCGCTCTAATTGTAACCAGAAGGGCTTCTGCACTCGTGATCCAGCTTCTGAAAGTTACGCTCAATCAGTTGAGCTGCGTGGTATATCTAAGTGTACACACGCCTATATAGTAGTCTACAGCCTAATTATAGCTGTTTTACCTGCGTTGCATTCTATTTAAACTACCCGTGACCCTTTTTTTTCAACATTTTACCCCACATATCTTTCAAACAAACTATAACGACTTCACCCTCGCAGTGGGTTGCTGCGTGGCAATCACATACACTCACCTCCCAAGAACCATCCCGGCGATCAAAAAAAACACAAAACAATAGCCCCCGATCGTGGATCGTGGCCTCCCTGGCTGAGGATCTTGCTTTTCATCGCCGTGATGTGTTGGAGTTTCATGGCACTTCCCGCTCTCGACGAAGTGTCTCACCTCTTCACCTTCATCGGGCAACCGCCCGCTGGGGCGACGCGGCACCGGACGAAGCGGCGCAAAAACCGCATGGGGTGGGGTGCCAGGGCCGACGATGACTGTGTGGAGCTGTATAAGGCCGAGAAGGGCGGACACTGGGCGGAGGTGTGCGTTTATATATAGCACAAGATAGCGAGGAAAAACATGTTTGTAATCAATCGTTGGGTTGTTTAAATAGTGAGAACTCATCGATTTTGCTCAACTGCAGTTTTTGACTGGAGGCCACAACCTCCCGAGCCTCAGGTTTACTCGCTGGTGAGCCAAGAACAGAGTCAAGCCTCTGGCCCCTGAGAGTGATGGGACATCCAGAGATTCCTAAACATCTTCCACTCTGACCAAAAACCCAAGGTGAGGGGATAGTTAAAGGATGTTAAAGGTTTCATTGCTTACACTCCGAGTCAACAACATGGAAGTGGAGTTCACCACCTGTTTTGCACTCGGAAAACCAGGCATGTTCCACTTCCAGGATTGTTTCGGGGAGTGTATGCGCTGATTTCCATTAATGGCCTTCAGCCCCATCTATCGCTGCCCGCAGTCCTCATGACCGGTAATGAGTGAAGGGGCTTACACCCACACGCCGTGCATGTGGGTTTTATTTAACCGCCGCTGGCGTGTGCCGCCGGCCTCCACGGCTGAATGCTGCCGCATGTGTGCGACGCGTTGTGAGCCAAAAAAGGAGAAGGAGAGCGAGATAGAAGGCAGGGGAAGTCACAAAGCAAAGAAACGACAAGGGCTGGCCCTAAAGCAAGCCATAAATTGACTCCAGCTGGTGGAGCGGGTGAAGGGAAAAACAAATAGCAACATGTTGCCAGCAAAGCATAAGCAGGAGAGCTTAGCTCAAGGGTGGGAGACGCAACGCAGAGAAACGGCCAGGGGATGCAACGGGTTGCCCACTTAGATTTAGGTTGTGAGGCTTTAGGCTATACAAGAAGACTTCTAGAGAACGGTGGTGTCCGGTGGTGGGTGTAAACCGTGTTTTGGTGTAAACGGTGGTTGGTGTAAACCGTGGTTAGGTGTAAACGGTGGTTGGTGTAAACGGTGGTGTGGTGCAAACGGTGGTTGGTGTAAACGTTGGGTTGGTGCAAGGGGTGGTTGGTGTAAATGGTGGTTGGTGTAAACGGTGGATTGGTGTCAACGGTGGTTGGTGTAAACAGTGGTGTGGTGTAAACGGTGGTTGGTGTAAACCTTGGTTTGGTGTACAGGGTGGTTGGTGTAAACCGGGGTTGGGTGTACGTAGTGGTTGGTGCAAACCGCGGGCAAAATGAAGACTATGGCAAAGCGCTGTCAAGTGCATGCAAAACACAGGCGACGCATGGCGACGCGCATACAGAACGACGACGACGACGACGACGACGAAGCGACGATGAAGACAACTACGTGCGGGGGGAGGGGTCAAGTTAGTCGAGGCAAGAATTCGCGCAGAGAAGCAATCTAAACGATGAACAGCTTTATACTTTAGTATAAGACAAGTACAAGTACAAGAACATCCACAAGACACGCCGGCAGGCCGGCGGATTTTTGTCACCACATTGCTGCATGAACTGTGACTGCGGCAGCTCTGACAATATCTTTGGGCTCACCTGGCCACATGTTTCTGATGCGAGCTGCAACCACTCCACCAAGCAAACCAATCATCCCCCCATGCAAAACCGTTTTTCCAACGAGAAGCCGAGGCAAGCTATGGTTACTTTTGGATGTGGTTCAGCTTCATTTTCGAGCTGGTGGCCATCGCTTTGCATGCCTGGATGCCTTTGAACAACGAAATGACTGAGGACGGCGGCCAGCTCGGTCACTCGGTGCACCTCAACGAGCAAGCCATCGAACTGCTTGAGAAACCATCGTCGCCTAAATGGTGCACACACTGCCGGCATAATGAGTTCGATGGATTTCGATGAGACTGCGGCGTGCTACTGTCCATGAAGGAATCACACGATCTGATTCAACTCCAAGACTGCCGCAGAAGTCAAACTTGGCAGAAGGGTTTCGCAAAGGTTGGTGACTGCACGAGACGAGGATAGGGATAGAAGGCCGCGAGGCGTACGAGGTTTGACCAATGCTCAATGATGCTTCATGCAGACTATATTTCATAAGACTTCACCCATCAGTTATGATTACTGCAAATAGAGTCATGCATGACTTTGAATTGCAAGTTGCGTTGTATACCGTATGCGTTTCCTTTTTCTGCGTGTGTGAGAGCCGCTGTGGTGGGGGAACGTTTTTGGTGAGTCGCTTCTCTGCATGGTGAGCGTCCTGTGGTGAAGTGGCTCGTGGTGCCGTCCACCCACTCAGCGCCATGCCAACACCGGTTCCGGTGCTGCCACTGTCGGCTTGAGTATTTCTGGGCCCAAACTGTGGGTTTGAGGCGGTTCGGCGGGTTCGCTGGTCGGGGCAGGAAGAGCGCTTGCAGCAACAGATGCAGAAGGAGTACAATCAGCATGCGGCTTCCCAGGCGAGCGGAATGGAGCGGAGGGATGGGAAGGGAGCGGAGGGAGAGTGAGCCGTTTTCAATCGGTTGTGCCGGAGAGTGAGCATTCGGGGCCAGATCCTTGAAATGAAAGGCAGTGAAAGTGCCTGACAGTACACCAGTCACAGAACTGTACTGGGCTGCCAAGTGCCCTGGTCCAGGTAAATGTTTAAAGTTTAATTAACTGTGATTATTTGTTTATATATTATTATCGAGTATTTTAATGTACTTTATGCAGATGTAGACATTTCACGAAAGGTCGCCCTTCAGGGGATACCTTGAGTTTGTCTTGCGAAGCAAGTTGGGCTCCTCCGGATCTAATAATTGATATAGTCTTAGTTCAATTCAACCCTCCCTTGGAATTGATTTTTCGCTACAGACCCCCCCCTTGGAAGTGATTTTTCAATACCCCCCCCCCTCCCCCCTGATCGCTGGGATGAAGTGGATCACCTCGACACCTCGATGGTTATTTGGTGTTGAGCACTCTAAGCTTGGGGCAGTGTTTGAGTCCATGAAGAGACATGACATGTTGTTTTTAGTGCTTCTTGGCCTTGAGGATTATCATACCACACTGCATATGTTACATGCTTCTTCTCCTCCCGCTGGCCTACCTTTCGTGTATCCCTCTTCTCAAGTTACGGTAATGGGGGTTCCCTTTGTGACCACCCGCCACCCTATCAAAATATACAAGTTTGCTCACTTGTCAACCAGGACTGCTGAAACTTATTCTTTACTCCAGGCCAAAATCCACGTCGCAGATGTTTCTTGACTTCCTGCAGCGGCCATAGAGGAGTTTCTTTACTCTCTCCTCCTAAGTATTGTGGCGTTCATTTGGTCCAGCATTCCGAAATGACATCATTGCCCCCGGTCCTACCTCCAGATTTGCTGTACATAGTACATATATAATCATATATATACACATCGAGCCATGCTGCCCAGTGCACATTAAGTTGCTTCTCAGTCAGGGTCCCGAAAAAGACACTGAAACTTGGAAGTGGCATTCGTGTCATTTGGTCATTTTCCTAGCTTTCCTGTTCCGCTTTGAATGTAGTGTCCGGCCGCTACAGAGTACTCAGCGTAGACACTGCAAACACTGCTGCGCTTTCTTATGGCCAAAAAGGGCCAATTGGGATGAATGAGGTGCATGTCGCATCGTTGGCTAGCAAGTAGAAAACCGCTCTCCTGCATTTTAGCATCCATCCCGGTCCATCCCCATGAGATTTGGAGTAGACCTATTAAACTGTTAGAAGCTTCTATTTAGTTGAATTAGTTGATAGTGTTTTTTAAGTATGATTCTTACTATACATATCTATACACTATCGAAACCAAATGCTTGAATTTTGCAAGAGATTGTTCAACAATCTATGCGCATATTCTGTGTATAATTGTATGTGTATATATATATATATACGCACGCCTGTGTCTGTGTTTGTGTGTGTCTGTGTGTGTGTAAGCTTGGACCCGCGTGTAGGCTCAAACATGCTCTTGTTCGTTTCGCTCGCCCTGCCGATGCCTTTCAGCTCGGACTTGACGTATGTTACTGATGAGTAACCGATGTCATGTGGTCGCTTCGTGTAAGTGTGTAACTGTTTTGTCGCTTGGTGTCTACCATTCCCAGGTGCCAGTTGGTAAAGAGTGCAGCACGTAGTGCTGGCAAGGTCTTTGTTTAAACTATAATATTTCAAATTCACGCACATTCGTTGCAGAGGATCTACCCAACTGTTTGCCGCATCAGCCTCACATTCGGTTCGGCTGCGGTTCGTTCGGCCTGCGGTGAAACCGCTGCAGTGGCTTCCCCACCACGCCCCCAAGGACCAATGCCTTTTGCACAAGGTTTTTGTTGACCAAACCTGTCATGCAACGCCCTTACGGGTACATGGTTTGGGTAACAAGGCGTTGGGGCACCATCCGCATCATTATCAAAGTAGGTGGCACATCATGACGGCTGGAACGAAGATTTTTACCCACACTTCGGAGAAAGTTCCAGATCATGGCGGTCATGGTCATTAATGTTTTCTTCACACGAACAACAAGATGCCCGGTGAACCACCTGCGGAAACTGACGGGTCCATGCTTGACATCAAACAACACTGAACGCAGCAAACTTCAAAAACAACACTTTGCAGAGGCCCCCCGGCTTCCAGTCTGTGTCAGTGACTTCGGCTACTCCGTGTCGGCTTTCTTTTTACGCGCCATGGCGATGGTTCCAACCACCACGGATGCTTTGCTGGGCGTCATTTACCTTTGCAGCTATTTTTTGAAGACTGGCCTCTTTGCTTGATTGGCATGTGACATTGGCTCCACACCCGTTGGATCCCGTTGGCACCCCCCAAATCAGAGGACCGTTGGATGAGAAGCCCAAGCATGTCCAGGGCCTTAGGGCTTCCCCCATTCAGAGCCCCATGCATCGCACTACACCATGAACGCCGAACAGAACTCTTTCAAACCTACAGGGATGTGACCAGGATCCCTCTTCTTGATACTGCGCTCGCTCGCGTTTGTAGCAGGTCTGTCATGGCAAATGCTGGCGATGGAGTGCCTCATAATGAGTACTCATAGTGGCGAAAATAGGCGTAGAGCAAAGCCTCAGCCAGCCCCTCATGGGCTGGACATGCACGGGGACGCGCATGACGCGTATTGGACGCGTAACGATTGGACCCTCCCAGCGAAGCTCTTGGGCAAGGCTCCTGAAGCAGGATCCCAGACACTCCATTTACAGTATGGCATATTTGTCTACATTGACCCCTTTCAACCAACCCCAACTGATCAGCAACTATGCCGTGCATGGAGTGTCTGTGGATTTTCAGGTCCACAAAATGAACGTTTGGAACATGGTCAGACCATGGTCTACGCACAAGCACCTGTACTCATGCCGCCATCAACTGCCTGCAGACATCAAGGCCCGCTGTTGGGCTTGCTGGATCAAGTGGGGCTCGTTCTGCTGATCGCTGGAGTGGTGATTTTCCTGGGCATTTGCATCAAGATTCGGCTCATCGGCCAGATGTGACTGGGCAGCACGATTTGGGCCGCTTGACCAAGTGACTGAGAAAGTGTGACGGAGAAAGGGTTCTGATCTGGAAGAACAACAGATCAGCAAGATTCCGTGCAACTGTTTCTAGGCTTGGAGCCAGCCAGCCCACATCCAAGTGGATGATCGATGAATGATGAAACCGAGCCTTAGACGATGATTGTTAATCCCGTCCTCCTAATAATAAACACGGCCCCCCCCCCCCCCCATTAAAAAAACCTCGGTCGCATTTTTTCTAATAGGGGGTCCCTGAAATCGGGGGGGCCCAAAATAGGGTCACCTGGAAACAGTTTCAAAACCAAAAAGTAATCCAGGAAAATTTTATATAAAATCCTTTATTAAACTCATATCAAAAATGCAAAAAACCGCCAGATCGAAGGGTCTTCCTTTTCCCCTACAAAAACCTTCATTAGAATAGTGATTCTTCAGTAGACTAACAGCTAAAGCTTTCGAAAGGTGATGTCGCTGTGCCATGCGGTGTTGCATGACCTGCAAGTGCGTTTGCGTGAGTCCGTGCCATTGAGGGAAGGAAAGCCTGCTGGTGTAAGCGCGGCGTGTCATGGTGGAGTTTTGGGGAACCTAATTTAAAAAAAACTACCACCAAAATCGACCATGTTGGTAGTTTAGTAGCGGTTTGAAAGGGCGGCAATTTAAAACCAAATATAAACCGAATTTAGGGGTTCGGACGTGGTGTTTTTTTAATTGGGGAGTGTTTATTAATAGGTACTCGGGATTACATCCAATGGTTTCTGTTCCATGGCACTAGTTGTTCTTGGTGGCTTCGGCTTCGGTCACAGGTTCACACCCCTTCGTTGGCCGGAGGGAATCCATGTACAGAGCAGAGCAGAGCAGAGCAGACACACACACAGAGACAGACGGACCGACAGACCGACCGACACACATACATACATACCATGGGGGTTGCAAAAGGATAGTTTGCGGAGGTTGATGCTGATCCTCCACCGGATGGTTGGCAGATGTTGGCAGTTGGGCACTGTCCGTTTGAGGCGATGGACCTTTGCCACAAAGTTCTTCAACAGCGTCATGGAGGTGGGGTGCTACCACCATATGCCTCCAGAAGCCATCCCTTTGCGGCCAAGGCTCCTGAATCATCCCCAGTGATGGTTCATGATGGTTCAGCACTGTGGAACGGAAGGGCAGTCTTTGGGTTTGTATTCTGGGTCAAGAGTTCTTAAGTCAATACATGGATTCTCATGTTGTTTTGCCGCCTTGTGTTTCTCCATCTTGACTTTTTGAAGTAGACATTCTCAGTGGGGCCTGCTCTCACCAGTTGGAGGGCTAAACTTCCAAGCAGAGAGAAGTCAGTCCCCTGCAATGAATCAATTGGAATGAAGTGTCTGTTTCCAGAGGGTCCTCTTTCACTCTGTCCAAACATTGTGTTCAAAGCCTAGGACCTAGGAACCACCAGCCCTGCTCAGCAGGTGCCTGTGCGCTCCGACGGCATTGACGGCATCGCGGCCCCCTAACCGCAGTGCGAGTAGACGGAATGGGCCCTCGATGTGGATTTTCGTAGGTAGGTTGTAGAGGAATGAAGGATGTATGATGTATAGTTTTTGTGTTTCATGTTGGTTTCAACAGCACGTAGTCGAATGTTCTTTTTTCTCGTGGCATCGGGCAAAACATATGATTTGTTTTCTTTTTCCCGCCGTTGCCTGGCTGCAACACTCACTCTGGAGCGCTGACTGAGAGTTCCCAGCCATACCATACCATACCATATTGCGGGATTGCGATCAAGACGGGATAAGACTCGGAACAGACAGTGAGAAAGCGGAATGCCAACAAGCAGAGACTGGAACCCCCGTGGGGTGCGCCCAAAGCACAAGTCTTGACACCTAGAGTCACAACCGGAATAGCTGCAAGTACACCAAGAATTGAATGTCCACAGTGCCTCGACTTCACCCACAGCATTTTTGAGCGGAACCTGCTTGCAGCAAGCAGAGCAGCTTGGGTTGACACTGAGTAGCCCGTACAGCCACACCAAACAGCTCCCACAGTTCTTTGAGCGTTACTTTCTGAACAACCGAAAGTTTTTAATCAATACCTTTGATGGTGGTCGGGGCTTTTGATTGCCCAAGGCCAAGATAATCACCACCATCATCCGCTCTGTGGTCATGGTGATGCTCGGCAGATCGCGGGAGGTTACAAAGAGGAAGGACTGGTCGTCGCGCGCGTCCTTTGGGATCTCCCCGCCTCGCGCCGTCCCGCGGCTTCGCGGTGCCAAAAGCTGAGGTGTTTTGCCCTTATCTTGGGCCTCCTGGGCGCCGCGTTGGATGTGGCTTTGGAGCTCTTGACCGTTTTGGCCCTGTGCCGCGGCGCGTTTCAATCCGGCGCAAGTGGAGTCTTTCAAGCCACCCCAAGCCATGGAGTAATGCAAAGATTCCTTTCCACCAAGCAGTAACTTGCGCCCCCCTGGCACAGGAGGGTGGTCAGGAGGGAGCTCAAGATCTGGACTATCCGATATCCGTGTTCTGCAACAGGGACCAGATTCCCCGGAAAGAAGGAGCCAACCAACCACGTGCTAGTTAGGTCATCCGAGAGAGGCTCATGCATGCATGTCAGTTCGTCAAGGCGTGATCTTCGGTGTGAAATCAGCGGAATCTGGTGATGCCACTTATATAATGATCAGAGAAGCACCGATGTTGAATTGACACATCATTGATTTTTGGACCACATTTCCTGACCCCTGGCTTGGGGATTGGTCACTGCTACTTTCTTCCTTGAGGTTGGTTCCAGTGGCGATTCTTTTGGGCATCCAACTGAAACGACGCCTCGCGCCAGAGACCCTTGAAACCATTTGCCCGGTGCTTTGGCAGCATCAGGGACGAGCGGGAGGCGCAAGCTGCCCAGCGGGTGGCGACGGTTCAGATGTCATTTCAAGTCATCCATTTTTGGGGGGGCAGAGCGTGTAGACACGAGTATCCCCGTGAGCCCTGCTGATCGGCTATGGCCTGCTGTTTGTGCTCAGCACTATTCAGTAGTGATATACTATGATGGTGTTGAGGGTGTTGCGCTAGCTTAGTGGAAGAAGTTTTGGCGAGGGTGTGGCCAGTTCTGAAGTGCCGGGGTCTCGCCACATGTGGACGCCGCATCGAGGAAGAAGCGTCAGGCATCACTATACTATGGCGTTCAGACATTGACATGTTCAGACATCTAAAGTCCTTTGGTCAAAGAACCCGAAAGGATACATGGGATTCATGTTCAAACTTTGAACGTGTGGGATGCTTCCACATGTTGGTGAAACAACCAGCGACCTCCCAACCAGCATCAGCGCATGCTTGCCACATGTGCTTTGTATATACATTACACTCCCCGGAAGCATCATGGAAGTGGAATTGCAATGGCCTTGTTGCATCACCTCTTACCCCTTTAAACAGGTGGTGAACTCCACTTCCATGATGATTCCAGGGACTGGAGAAAGATGTGATACATCAACCTGGTGAGTCGTGAGAATCGGTGCTGTGCATGGTGCTTTCCGTGCGGAATCAGGTGCTCGGGCGATTGGGCCTTTTCCTACACTTGGCTTTGCTGGCCCGAGTCCTTGGCAGCCGTGCCAGGAAGGATTGAGGCTTGAAGATCCCAAGCTAATTAATGAGGTCAACATGATCATTCGCGACCCGTGGGGGAGAAAGGAAAATCCCTTCTCCATGTGCGTCCCACAGCTTGTGAGCTTGGGTTTGCTGCGAAACAGTGCAGACAAACCACGGCAACCTGGTTGAAATCAGCTTTCGGTTGTGCCTTTCGAACGGTGCGACGAACGTGGAGTTTAGACACATGCGATGAGCAACCCATCATTGAGGATGAAGAGTGCTTCACCTGAAGACATGTGTCTTCCTCACACACCACGAAAGGACGAACACAGAAGACGATGCGAGCAGCACAAAAGCAAAGAACATGTGAGTGCCAAGCCGCCAACATGTTTTGCAATAACATCTTACCGCAGAAGTGGACGACTAGTGTAGACTTTGTAGGGAAACCGGCTCCAAAGGTTTCTCCACTTGTTGCCAACGTTTTGTTGGACAAAGGATGCTTTAGTAAACGCTTTTGGCAAGCTTGGCGCCTTGGCCTCATTGCCAGCGGGGCGCCCCACCACCAGGACCACCTTATTTTCTAGAACCTGCTCAAAGGAAAAGGAGAGAGATGTGTTCCCCATGGATCATCAATTTGTTTGGACCGGCTGGCTATTCCTCATGAGTTGGTGACTTAGCCTGCGCAGGCGCAACCAGGCTATGGCCAAGGGGCGCCTGGATACTACGCTGGTGGACCGGCGCCTGGCTACGGTGCCCAGCCAGGTTACGGTGCCCAGCCGGGTTACGGTGCCCAGCCCGGCTATGGTGCCCAGCCCGGCTACGGTGCCCAGCCGAACTATGGCAACGCGCCGGGCTATGGCACGGTGTCCAGCATGCCAGCGAATTGGGGTGCCCCACCCGCAGGCTGGGGAAGTACACTCAGTAAACTCCTGGACACACGGGCGAACATCAGAAAGACAAGGGTACCGGTTGATACCGTCTAAGCCTTGGAAAAGGCCAAGTGAGCTTGTTTGTGGCTGGTGGCAGGTGCTCTTCGAGCCGGTCACATCCCACACTCCCAAAATCTCTCCTGACGGCCTCCCCTTGCCCATGTGACCACCAAACACATGATGCCAACCCAGAGCATGTGAAGAATCAATGGATTTATTATGATCTATTTGTATGTACCTAATATATTTAAAGTTATATATACTTTAAGTATATATATATATTTTTATTACTATAACCATCTAATGAACAAAGTGTGTATATATATATTTTTTTGTGTGTATACACCTCCAGAAGTGTGTTTGCAGTCCCTGACGTGCAGCAGGGACTCTTTTTCCCCCCACCTGGCTCCGGATCCTGCTCAGGGACTCCTCAATTTGCAGGTCGGCCATGAGCCACCTGGTGTGGAGTCAGGGTGGATGACTGAAGTGGACCCCATTCGTTCATGCAAAAACCGTGCAGTGTTCTGCTTTTGATAATTCTTGTGCCCACAGTAGGTGAGAAGCACGGGTGGCTCTTTCATTTGGGTTGCGGGCTGAAGGAAAAAGCAAAGGGGAACATCCACAGGCTCTCAACATGTTGGGCGGGTGTGCAGGCCCTACCGTAGTTTGCGACCTTCAGCACAGAAAGACATGATACAAACCAAAAGAGCCCTCAGTTGATTCTCCCTCTTTTGGACAGCCGCTGTTGATGGACTTGGGCCGGGCCTTTGGTCTCTGTCCGAGCTATGACAGCAGAAGCACCAGCTATGACAGCTATGACTTCGTTCAGTCCCACAGCAGAAGCATCCGCCGTTCCTCCAGTGTTCCGACCTACGGAGCTGCGACCTGCGGTGGTTTCCAGAGGTGAGAAATGGCACTGGTACCCCGTTCGATGTCTTAGACTGGTCAGGGGGTCCACTACTAAACCACCATCTCTTGGGGAGTCTGAGCCATTGGTCCTCTCAATCCACCAAATATCTCCAGTCGCTTTGGATCGAAACAGATCGAAGGAGGGACTGACCGCTCAGATCTCCACAGAACCGACCGGTGGATTCCTGTGTCCACATATGTCGAAGACATTACATGGAAGTGGAGTGTCCACCCTATTCGTAAAGGACAATGAGTCATCCAACATCATTCAAAATCGTCTATGAGTCAGAGTGCATCGTTCACTTTGGGATGCTTTGGGTGCATTTCTTGCACCTGAGGTGGCGCGACGGCGCCTCTCCACGTGGCTAACTCCTTTCGCCCACAAGCAAAAGGAGTTGCAAAGACGACTCTTCGGTCACACGCTATTGTTTGAAAACAGGTTGAGTGCTGAACATCCAAGACATGGCTGATTTGGTGGGGAAAGGGGCTCTGGGATACCTCTCAGACGATTGACGCATGTTCAGCAGCCATGCCTGGCTCGCTTTCACGCTGTGTGTTGAGTTGTGTAGGTCTTTAAGTGTTTGCTTGCAGAATCTCTGCCACCTCCACTGTGAAATTCAACGCAACGTGTCGTTCAGCTAAAATCAGCTGGTTTCATTCTCCAGATTAGTCATGGCTTCCGGATATGGATTAAAACCTCCCAACCTCCCATGCCAAGGCCAAGACAAATGCCCCTGGAAGGTCTGTAGGAAGGTCTTCAAGAAAATGCCACAGAGTTGCCTCCTACTTGAAACAAGGGTGTTTGGAGGAGATCTATAATAACAGTCTAGATTCTAGATCAAACACGAAAATCCTTTGACTGCCTGACCTCCGTTTAAAGTGAGTTGCCCGCCCGTGCTACTCGTGGCTGGAAGCAGGCTTCCAGCCACGAAGCCAGCCCTGAAACCCAAAGACCCCTCCAACCCACAAACCTTCCAACCCGCACAGACACTGCCACTCACCATCTCACACCCCATCCTCCCCACCTCATCCCTGCACGTCCCACGGGGTTTCGCACGGGCCGCGCCATGGATCCCAAGTGTCGACGCCTGGATCTCTCGCAGCTCCGAAGCGTGGAGGGCGAGGCGGCGAAGCAGACGCGGCAGACCGGCGGTCTCCGACCGGCGTGGTTGGGGCTTCGTTTGGGGCACTGTTGCGGCGTGTTTCTGGTGTTCTTCCAGGGAGAACATGTGGATTTGAAGACCCCATGTTGGTCAAATCATGACAAATCTATCTCATGGTCGGGTGGTGTCAGCTGGGAGGCTGAGCACCGATGCTGGTTTGGATCCCTGTTCTTCTCTGAGGTTGTTCTCACTTCTCGCTCTTCTTTGTTTCACCAAAGCTACCACGAGATTGGCTGGTGCAATGCTGATTCCACCCAATGGCAGGCTTTGATTTTCTGATACTGTTGATTCTTGAATATTCATGATGAACCAAATCCAGTGAAATGCACATAAATATACATATAATGTACAATCATTATTCAAGTATTGCCCCGTCGGAGAACATAATATGCAAGGATCATACTGGCATGGCAGTGGGTCAGTGGCATGTGGTTAATTAGTCGCCTCCCCAATCGTTGTTGACCCATCATATGCAAGTTCCATCCCTCCCGACTCACCGAAAGCTACACGTCAAGACGGACGAAACATCCGAGGTGCTGCCCGTGACAGACTGTCACAATGGGGGGACCGGGTGGGCAAAGTGCATCATATGTGTTGGATCATAAGATGGTTTCAGTTGGTTCAGATTTGGGAGCCTGCGAAGCAGTGCAAGTCATGTCCATTCTAATTTACTGTACAATTTGTTCTTCCAACTATATATAATTATAGGTCAAGACAAGATCAGTGTCAAGATCATTATGCCGGCCCCTCTCCTTCGGGCTGGGAAGGTATGTCTCTCAACACGTCTGCCGTGTTGTCCAGTTTCACTCGGCAGGCGGAGTGGAAGATGCTGGACGCCGGCCGCATGCGGGCTCACTATCTCAGGCCGCGTCTTCCGCGCCGCGCCGTTGGGAACTCCGGACCTGCTACCGAATGATGTGTCGCTGGCCAATCGGTGCAGCAACCACCACAAAATTGCTTTCAACTTGAAGTTTCAGGTGGTCACTCCAAGCACATGACAACGCACGACAACCGAGGGTTAAGGGGTGGGGATTGGGATGATAGCCTTCCACCTGCACAGAACCTCAAGTCTGGTCAAAAGCACACCAAATTGCGCCAGGGGTGTGTTGATGGCAGTGGTCAGGTGCTGAAGGCCATCCATAAACTCAAACTTTTTTGACAATCCAAAACAAGTGCAGAGTGCAAGAACCAAGATGAACGCTACTACTGTTTGCGGCCTGAATGCAGCACACTGAAAACCAAACTGGTAAAGGCGAGAGAGAGAGAGAGAGAAGAACAAAGGGCAAGCAACAAGAGAGCAAGAAACATGGAAAACCCTAGACATCCCCAAGTGATTGTGCTCAATTCGCAAACCTCCCCGGCTTTCCAATGGGCCACACACACTTAGATCATGGCTCGCAAGAGCTGTATGAGTTATAACTTCCCAGTGAGATTAGCACTTTACATTCCTGAGAGCTAGACCTTGACTTGCAAACGAAAAGAGTGGCAGAGCCCGCAATAACCGAATGATTGAAAAAACACACACACTAGCGTTGGCGCTTGACCGCTGACTGCCAACATCCTCCAGTTCAGGCGCGGCGCGGCAGCGCGTGGCCAATGCGAATGCCAACACTTCCACTTGCCGGGCTTTCCGGAGGTTGATTTCACGTGCCCTCGGGACCACCGGCCTCCAACCGGCCGGTGGGGGACGGTCTCCGCGGTCGCGTCCGCGGTCGCCCGTCGCAGATGTTCGGCTGCGGTGGCAGAGGTTCTTGTGATGGATGACATTTCAGTGGCCCAAAGCTGTGCAAAATCCCAGGCTATAATGAGTTCTTCCATTCGGTACTTTTCATTTTTTCACTGTGAAAAAACATGATCATCAGTATTCAATACTGACATGGAAATCCATTCATCAGCTGTGGCTCCTCGGATTCTTTGCATGCTTAGATAGCAGATGAGTATACAGTCACTGTCGTATATATCTATATTATATATATATATATATAGAAAACTATAGAACTACAATGAGATATTAGTCCTGTTTTGAACATCCCTATTCAATATTCCTTGATGTTGCTTCATGCAGACCTTCCCGGAATTGAACATAATCGAACCGACGCCAAGATCAACAGAGTTTACCGAGAATAAATACACACACACAGATCCCATCCTTCGGGTCCAAGCTGAAACATTTGCAGACTCCAGCCTGCCAGCTCAGCTCCACAGGTTCATGCTCTACCCCATGGGCCTTTGCCTCCACATGGAGTCCAGTGACGAGCACAGCTCGGGCTCGCGCAGCGCTGCGGTCGCTCGGAGTGTGGTCTTGGGACTTCACGTGAGCGGCCCCGGCTGTGAGGGCGTGGGCTTTGAGGCGGATTTTGCCGGCAGATCCGAAGAAGGGGACGGATGGTTCGATCTTTCTTTTCGCATGTTGTTCGATGTTTCTTCTGTTTTCGGTTCGTGCATGTGTTCGATGTTTTTTTGTTGAACAACGTCGTTGATGTTTGTATTTAAGATTTCATACGACTTGTGGTTTTCTTCCCGAAGGGTTCGTGTTCTGTTTTTAACCAGATGTGTTCCGACGAGCACAGGTTTGTGGCGCAACAAGAAGAACAAAACACTGGTCCTGGTCTGTGAGAGTTTGGTTTGGGTCCCAATTTCATCATGGCCTCAACCTGATTGATGGTCCTTGAATTGAATGAGCGCCAATGAGTGCCAACTAGTGCCTCTGAATGTTCAGATCGGCAGCAAAAGACCATCCACTTCGGGTGTCGGACATCCAAATCACCTCCCAGTGGGAAGAATCGGGAGAAGAGGTACTGTACTGTAGTAGGTGACACCGAGACTCCACGGAACAGCGGATACTCTTGGACACATTGGACACATCGGTCTGCCACAGTTTTCGGGCCGCACACGGCGGTTCGGCAGGTGCGTTTGCACCTGCGGCTGCTCAGTCGCGCGGCGGCCTTGGCGGAAGCGGTGGAAGAAAAGGCCCTGGCAGGTGGGGTGGAGGGGTGGAAGGTGTGTTCGAGCTGGCGTTCCTAGACCCGGAGATGTGAATCGCTGCGTTTTCATCGTCTCCAGACTCCAACAGGTGGTTTTTGTTGGTTGTTGAAACAACCATGTTGGAGATTGAAAGCTGTGCCAGGCACTGGGCGTGTGTCATGCGAAAGTCTTTGGCCTGAGGGTGTGGATGTGTGCCAATGCAGCTGCCATGTGCTTGCGGCACCTCCACCCTGTGACTTGCTTCCGGCGACCGGAGGGGTGGTGAGGGAGGATGGATCATCTCAGCTCCTTTGACTTAGGTCATTCTAGGGTTTTACGGGTGGATCTTAACATATGTTATGATGTGCAGTGATGTGTATATAAACATTATAAACATAATTATGCGTAATTGTACATATATATGTTTTTCTCAAGTTTTTATTTAACTACATATTTACTGTACATATATATTTATAAATATAAGTGTATAACTGTGTATGCCTTTATCTAATAGAAATTGCAGTCCATGCCGATAATTTAATGTGCACGGTGCAGAGTACACCTTAAAATACATGTAAGACGTGTTCACTCCCCACCAAGCTCTTTATAAAGCACGTTTAAGTGGTGATTTGCATGTTCTCATCACCTTAAGCTGTGGAAGCAAATCTGGGTCGCCTCCTTTGGTTGCTCTCAGGTGGCGACCCAGTGCTCCGGCTCTCCACCGTTTGGCAACCTCAGAAGGAGGTGCCATGTTGTGGACTTGTACTTGTGGTGCTTCGCATGGCAGAACGGCATGTGAAATTGACATTAGGTAAAGGGTCAGGTAGAGGAGATACTGTCTATATCATATACATATATTCTTGTTACAGTACTTTGTACTTATGATATATAATGCTTGCAGTCGTTTCAGGAGAACTACTCTGCTGCGTTTCCGGAATGCTACCCTGACGATTGGTTAGGCTGCCATTTGCATGCTGTCATCGTTTGTAGTATTGCCATCGTTTGTTCAAGGTTGCTTGGTAACAAGACGGGTTGCCACTTATCACGCTCAGGGACTACGTGTATATATATATATACATAGAGAGAGAGAAGTGGATTCGGCTCGGCCGCTTCGGCTCGGCTGGCTTTGTAACGAACTCCATGGAAGCCACTTCCGAACATTAATGAGTTCCCTCCTGGGCAAGCTTGGTCAGAAGGGGTGCCATATCAGGCAGAGTTGCTCAGGTCTTTTCTCCAGGGCCAACATGCGATCCATGTCGTCCAAACCTTCTTGGAAGGCCGAAGAATTTCAGGCCGAACGAGCACCAGTGTTCAGGCCTATATAGAGCACCGGTTCTCAGGGCTGATGCTCGATCGAGCGTGGCTTTACCGCTCCTTCTCAGGCCGACTCCGATGAGGACATCGAACGTTTGGATGGGGATGACGACGAGTAGGAGTGAGACGGGGCCAGACTTGCCAGACTTGCCAGGCGGGCAGATTGAATGATGCTGAGGGTTTATGGGTTTATGGGTTTTCTTCCATCCTTAGTCTTCTTGAACTAGTCGAATCGTTGGTCAATGTTTTTTGTCAACAACTTTGGGATCTTTGGGTCAAGAGCCTTTTTTCAAATCATGATCTACAGCTAGAATGGATGATTTGCCTTTTTCAAGCCCGGAATCAATCAGCAAGATTCAGCAAGGGCACATACTTCAGAAGAACTCAAAGATGGTGTCTTCAGAAGGGAATTTGGCCAGACGGACGGGCATGTGGTCCCACAAGCATCCATCAACTAGCCCGCCTCCCGGCTGGTGTAGCCAGACACAGCTTTCAGTCGAAGAGCCGGCGAAAAAGAAAAGTAGCGTGCCCCGGCGAAAAGCGTGATTCCTTTTCCCGCGTGGAGGGCGATGTGACTCGCTGGTTCAGTCCTGAGTTTTAGCTCGCCAGGACTGAGGGTAGCTGGATCCAAAAGGATTCTGTATGGAACCTCCCCCGATTCCCTACAGACCACCAGTTGGTTGTTCATCCGGATGTTCTTGACGGATGGTTCGAGTTGGGGAGGTGAAATCCAGGAGACCCTCAGAACGAAGGTTATTGATGAGTCTTCGAATAGGACCAGGCATTACGTTTCATTCTTTATTACTTCCACTGCCAAATTCTGTGTTTCCTTCCGTGCCTTAAGCACGCAGGACCATGCCCCACTGAAGATCGACTTAATAGCGACCTACGGGGGCAAGTTGAACGTTGGTGGAGGGAAGTTCCCTGTCGCATTCCAGCCGTGGTTGAAGAACCTGAACTAGACTATCCTATAGGTACATATATAGATACCCCAGGTGACGGGTCCTATTTACGGTCACTTCACCTGTGTTGGTTGGCACCTCGGCACCTCAGGCACCTCAGTAGAAGTGACAACTGATCAATCAAGTCACGGCGCCAGGGGTTCAGATCCCTTCGATCCGAGCCGAGCTCGCGGAGCTGAGACGAGCCGAAAGCGGAGCTGAGCCGGACGGCCCGACCTGTCTGGTCAACCGGACGAACGTTTGGAACGGGTCTGGCAGGGACAGAGGGTCATGGGGTCATGGGGATATGAGGGTCATGTGTGTCAGATGATGTGCCGTCTAGGGACCCCAAGCCTCTTGAGGGACCATGTCTACATCAGAAATGGAACAGACTCGTTTTCTGGTCGCTGCTTGGATAGTCTGGCGACACTGGGGCCGCAGTGATATTTTATGGATGACGCATCCCCGAGACAATACCAGGTGCCAGGGATGCTAACATTATTCAGCTTTCGATTGACGACCACAATTTGATGGTCTGAACTCCAAACTGCCAGAGATCTGGAGATAGCGTGCTGTGAGGCGCTACTAGTTGCGTGATTAGGACCTCGGCCTTGGAATGATGGGGCTAGCAACTCGAACTGGAGCGATTCCAAACAAAAATCTTCCAGCGATCAATCCATAGATTGTGTGCACGGTTCTGTCGACATCACATGCATGGACACCCAATGAAACACTGGTGGTTTCTCACCCCTGGGCACATCCCCCACCATCCTCAACATCCTCCATTTTTCCATCCCTTGGTAGATTTTTTCACATGCCATCCGTGAAAGTAATGGGTGATCCTGCACCCAACCACGCCACTGTTGCGGTCGCTTTTTCCCCGATGAACGACCCAACATGCCATCGGAAAACCACGCTCCCACTCCACTCACTCCTTTCGCTCCGCGACGCACGGTGCATCTTGGAGATCTGCTGGGAGTGGACGTTTGCGCGTGTGTTGTGTGTGTTTTCTCCGAATTGGACGACTCCCAAGACCTCGATCATGTGCTTCGTTTTAGACGTAATTAGTCCATGTGAAAGACGTGGTCCATGTGAGCCGGTGAAGGAATCTGGAGGTTTGACCTTCAGACAGTCCCAAATGGAGGTCCACCCCAATGTGCTTTGAGTCTTAAGTTTGATAAGGCACCGATGCAAGCAGGCACGTCCTGTGGGTCGACCTGTGGGTCGACCGTGTGACGGAATAGATTTACTGTAGAAAGTGATGTTGAGAAGTGACATGATGAGATGCTAGCATAGCAAGAGTCATAGCAAGCATAGCTTAGGCTTGGATATGCTTGGATGCTGCAGAACTGCGGCGCCTTCCTTGGCCAAGTCCATCAAGCAACGAGTCTTGTTGTTGAACCGTTTCATCGGCATGTCACGAGTCGCGAGTCGAATTTCAGAGGTCTTGAGAGTTTCTGCATTTTTGACCAGGCTGATGCAGGGTTGGAACCAGTCCAATTTCCTCAAGATACACTATATGTTGCTATTGACGACATATGTATACATCTATATACTTGTCTGTTCAAAATCGAGCTGGATCGTTTTCCGCTCCTGCTCCAACCTTTGATGTCGATGGATATTTTGTATTTCACAGGCCTTTTGGGCTTCGCAGATGTGGCAGTTCAGACATGGGTTGTTTTGTCACGCATTTTTTGACCCCTGGAAATCCAAAGCACTTCAAAATACGATTTGCATGACCCACTGCCATTTCAGTGTTGGAAGAGGCCCCGCATCACTGTGGTATTTGCCATAGGGCCCACGGTGCAGCGGTGTCTTCCATCGTCGAAGCTGCATGGAAGTTTGATGGTGGAACCTGATGTGAATCATCCAAGCCGCACCATGTGTTGTCAAGGTCTGAACACTTGGCCAATGGTGACCTTTGTGCTGGTCGCCTACCATGCGGGTAGGACAACCATACCCTACCATACCCACGGTCCACAGTTTCGACCATGCCCTTTTTCTTAAAAGCACTGTGTGTTTTTCCTGTGTCAAGCAAGTTGAGCACCAATTGAGCAAGCGGTTCAAGACAACACTGACCATGTTATATGGGAGTGATGTGTCTAAGAAATGAACCGGATGTCCTGCTTGGTTGTATGTTGCGTCAAGCAACAGGATGTATTGCTCCGTCACGTTCAATCGATCTCTCCCCCGTTTAGCTTGAGACATGCCATGACCTGATTGTATTGAGACAAGGCTCCACCGGAACCTTAACAAGAGCCTTCGGGCAATGGCCGGTGACAAGGCCGATGCTCAAGGCTGAAGATCTGAAGCCTCGAGAAGGGCGAAGCTGCGTCACACCATGAGAAAGCAGAGGTTATAACATGTTAAGTTATGACTATATAGTTATATAGTGCACAAAAAGCTCAGGGACAGGGAGCATCCCTGTTTTGCATAGTGAGTCATGTCATTTGGGGAGGGCATGAATACTGAACAGAGCGGATATGATACTGTACATAGGCTTTGCATAGATCATCATGCAAGGTAGCCCTTATTTAATCCATTGATGTTTCGCTTGACTTACATTACTTGGGATTCTGCTGGTGAGCACCACAAGCAGTTCACGAGACCACAGCTGGTGAGACCAGGGATGTCCATGGGTTTTCGCCCTGTTTCGTTGGGGTCTTCGCTCTGGAAATCTTAGCCCCATCTGCTTGGGGGGCTTTTTTTGCCTGGAACAGGCATGGCGACACCTGGATATCATGGACTCCAGGCCTGAACACCAGCCTTGATGGTCCACGACACACAGAACACGCCAGAACCCGAGACCTGAAGCCGGCGTCTTAAAGAAGACAGAGAGCCACAGGGCGACGGGGTTGCTTGGGACATTTTGGGACTGTTCAACGTGAAAGATCTGCCAATTTCACTTGATCATGTTTTTTCCGTCCCAGCGGGTGCGCGCGGGTGTGTGTGTGTGTGTGTCTTTTTCTCGGGGGGAGGGACAGGCCCAACGTCACTGACACCACATGATCAGCAAGTTCACCATTCAACACTCACCTGGATCGTTCTGGTGGGGGGACCCATGAGACCACCACGGCAGGTTGGAAAACCCCCGCTGAGTCAGCACAAAAGGCCGTGTTCGCAGTGGCCTTTTGCGGCACAGGATGATCTGAACAGATGTCTTGAGTAGCATTGGCGGCGGCACAGCCGGGAAGGTCTCCCTGTGACATGTGTTTGGATGCCAAGACAGTCGGCACCAAGGAGTTGATTCAGTGATGGCCGGTATGGCTTAGACATGCTATTTTGAGCATGCTGTTGATTGGCAACGTCAATCAACACCCTGTAGCACCCCGGGCCTCATGTGTGATTTGTCATGAACGATTTCCGCAAGAGGGAAAGTGACAACAAGACTTCCCATTGGTCCTGGCATTTGAGGGAGTCATTTGAGTCCAAAACTGAGGGCATTACACAGGAATTGTTTCTCCCAGTGCTGGGATCTATCTAGCCATCGTGGCTCAAGCATGACGCTGGCACTGGCACTGCGAGCCACACCGGTGGCGGCTTCGCCTGTCACAGGAGCGACTGGTGTCCCGTGGGGTGGACAATATCCGGAGTGGCCGTGAGCAGTTCTATTGCCTTGCGCGACTGCAAGGCAATGCTTTTAAGACAGATGGCAACAATTGGTATAGTGGTCTCCAAAATAGATAAGTGGCACGATGTCCAATATACATTTTTAGTGGGGATCTACTTCTCTATCTATACTCTATAGAAAAGATATCGGGAGATGATCGAGCAAGATCGGAAGTTGGCACTGTCAGGGCCCGGAGGCGCGCAGTGCTGTTGAGACCGGACATTGAACATAGTGAAAACATGTGAACACCAAGATTGTTGAAGTGTGGATCACTGAGCAGGTGTGTTTTCCGGAGTGGTGTTTCGTCGGGAATGAACATGAATGAAATGGTTGTCAGGCTTTTGAAAACGTAGGTCACTCAGTTTTTATTGATTCTGCGTCGACTACGCCATCAACTCTCCGACCCGGCGGAAGGGTTCGGCATCGACTACGCTCACTCGTGCAATAGGAAGCTCCTCGAGGGATGGAAAATGTCCTGCCCCTTTTAGGCCCTCATGAATGACGAGATTGGCGAGAGAGTGGGGTTGATGTGATTGCCCTCTTCACCACTTCAGATACAGCTACCCCT